TAAACGGGTGCCATGACATACCGAAAAAAGTCGGCTGTTGTTGCATTCCAAACGGGATACTTTAATAATAATAATAATAATAATAATAATAATAATAATAATAATAATAATAATAATAATAATAATAATAATAATAATAATAATAATAATAATAATAATAATAATAATAATAATAATAATAATAATAATAATAATAATTTTTTTTTTTTTTTTGGTGGAGAAATATACAAAATAAAATAATAATAAAAAACGCAACGAAGATGAGTTTTTTTTTTTTTTTTCCCATTTCCCAGATATTTATATAATTATATTTAATAGATAAAAAAAGAAAAAAAAAAAAACAATTGGTTAGACCATTTTAATTAGAAATAAATATTAATATATATATATAAATATTTATATATAAAATATAAATTCCCCTGAAAAAACAAAAAAATAAAAATAAAAATAAAAATAAAACCACTCAAGATGGACTTTTTTAGTTTTTTAGTTTTTTAGTTTTTTAGTTTTTTAGTTTTTTTTTTGATACTCCATTCCAAAGTTATTTTTATTTTTTGAAAAATTCAAAAAAATTCAAAAATGGCCATTGTAGCAACTTCATTTAAATAAAACTTACCATCATCATCAATATCATCGTCACAATACAAAAAAAAAAAAAAAAAAAAAAAAAATTTTTTTTTTTTTTTTTTTTTTTTTTTTTTTTTTTTGTCTATACACAGCCATTAGAATTATGTTTGCTCTCTTTATATATTTCTCCCCACATTGAATAAATAAATAAATAAATAAATAAATAAATAAATCATCGTCAGTTTATTTTTTTTTTTTTTGTACAAAAAATTAATTATTACTATTTTATATATATAAATATAAAAAAACAAAAAATAAATACAAAATACAAGCATTGTAAATTAAACAAAGCAAGATCTCATTAAAATAAATCCGTGTGCAGTAAAAAGACAAGTCAAAGAAACATTTTTTTTTAAAAAAAAAAAAAAAAAAAAGGGTTATATATTCTCATCAGGTCAATCAATTCCTAAGAGCTCCTCTCCTTTTTTTTTTTTTTTTTTTGTTAAAAAAGTTTTAAAAACAAAGACTGTCCTACTTTTTAAAGTCAGTCATCAACGGGTAAAAAATAAAATAAAAATTGTAATAGATAAAAAAAAATTAAAAGTCGTTAAAAAAAAGTGTTGTTTGTTTGTTTGTTTTTATATTTTCTTCATGTCATCGTCGCAAAGTAGTAGCCATTACCCATCATTCGGGATATCGGCTCGCCTAGTACTTAAAAATAATGTAAAGGGCGTGGATGATACCGGGGAACCAACCCAAACAGGTCAGGACAACATTGATGAGCAGATCCATGTTGCAACCTCTCTCAAGGAAGACACCAAGGGGAGGGAAAATGACAGCTATTTAAAAAAAAAAAAAAAAAAAAAAAAAAAAAAAAAAAAAAAAAAAGACAGAAAGTTAGTTATCAAAGGTCAATTGAGTAATACTTGAGTAATAATAAAGACTTTAAAAAGTATTATTATTATTATTATTATTTTTTGTTTAAAAAAAAGATAAACATACCAAGAATGATCTTGAAGATATCAGAACCGGTAAGAGCCATTGTGAATTGTTTTTTTTTATAAGAGTTGTAAAGTTTTAATTGTTGTTAAGAGAATTTGGACAGAGAAGACTGTTGTAGAAGAAAGAAAGAAAGAAAAAAAGAAAAAAAAAAAAAAATAAAATTTATTAATTAGAGAGGAAAGTTACCTGTATTTATACTCTTTTTGGGTTGCCACACACACATACACTTTATTTATTTATTTTTTTTTTTTTCTTGTTGTTGTTGTTGCTGAAGAGAAAATGCTGGCACACTGTGAATTGTTGTTGTTATGAGGGCTAAAAAAAAAAAAAAAAAAAAAACAAAAAAAACAAAAAAAAGGCGTGCGGCAAAAGAACAGTCAGAAAAAAAATTTATTTAATTTTGTCTGCTGCTCTCATGACACAAATATCAATTAAAAACAACAACATATATATATAAGAAAAAAACAAAAAAAAAAAAAACAATACACACACACACACACACAGCCCAGCTTAGATTAGGCCGGCACACCCAGCACAGCCCGGAACGCGGCCCTTTCGGCACTGGGCATTTTTTTTAAAAAAAAAAAAAAAATAAAGGGGGGAGAAATAAACAAAAAACAAAACAAATATGTTGAGGATTTTTATTTTTATTTTTATTTTTATTTTTTTAATTTATCATATTTATTTATCATATTTGGTTCAAAAATAAAATGATCATTAAAAGTAGCGCATTTACATTCCGACCGTTTTATTTTATTTTATTTTTTCAAAATAATTAAATAATAATAATAATGACTAGCTTAATGAAGAAAAAAAAAACCCTTTGAAATGTTGGTAACAATCCATTAATATCTATATTTCCTCGAGAAAGAGGAAAGAGGTATTTAGTTACAAACAACTTACTATACCAGTTTATATACCATTACTACTACTACTACTACTACCTTTGTATATATATATATATATGTATATATATATATATTTAAGTAATATATATACTTCTATAATAACCTTTCATCTATATACAAAAAAAAAAAAGAAGAAAGAAATCCCTTTTTTTTTTTTTTTTTTTTCTCTAAAAAAATTTTTTTTAAAAGAAGAAGAAAGTCAAAGTTAAAAAGGAACGTGGGGGAAAAGTTTTTTATCAGCCACTCTTTCTCTATATTTATCATTGCTGATGATGATACCTAAAATTAATAAATAAATAAATAGATAAAAATCAATAAATGGAAATATATATATATATATATATAAAAGAATAAGAGCCGTTCCTGATTCAGGCAGGACATAAATTCGAAAAAAAAAAAAAAAAAAAAAAAAAAAAAAAAAAAAAAAAAAAAAAACATCTTTAAATCATTGTTGAATAGAAAGAACAAAAAAGAAAAAAAGAAAAAAAAGAAAAAAAAAAAAGGCAAAAAAGCAAAAAACTTTAAAGATGAGATACTATTAAAACTTAGGATTTTAAACAATATATAAGTGGTTAAATATTCTGGGGAAATTCTTACTATCAATAACTTAATTAACAACAACAACAACAACAACAACAACCTATTAACAATAGAATCATAAGCAGCAATCAGTGATAATAAATAGCAAAGTTAATAATAATACTCAAGTTTGATGTTTTGCTTTTCTCAAAAAAAACCATGATGTAATAATAATAATATTATATTATAAATATAATAAGAGAAACTTTGTCTTATGATGATTTTTATTTATTTATTTATTTAAATCACTCTTTTAAATGATTTAATAAATAAATGAATGAATGAATGAATGAATGAATGAATGAATGAAAAAAAAATAAAAATAAAAAGAGCTCGTTTTCAAGTAAACCGTTTTTTTTTTTTTCACATACAAAAAAAAAAAAAAAAAAAAAAAACTCGCAGTCTCGTGCCACCACCACTACCACCACCAAATACATATCACCATTGAATCGGAATTTCCCTATTCCGTCGGGATATATATATTCTGTTTTTTTTTTTTATTATTTATTATTTATTATTTTTTATTTTGTACCCATTTTTTATTATTATTATTATTATTATTATTATTATTTTTTTTTTTCTTTAATCTAAAAGCTTTAGAAAAGTAATATTGGAATTTTTTTTTCCTTTTTTTTTTTTTTTTATAATAATAATAATATTAAGATCTTCTAGCTAGCAATTAAGGAATATACAAAATCAAATAAATCAAGCAAAAAAAAAAAATAAAAAAAATAAAAAACTACTTAATAAATTACATCATCTTAATTATTCTACTACCCCACCTTTACATTATTTTCATCTTCATTTTTATTAAAATTTTTATTATAGAAAAAAATTTTTTTTTTTTTTTTAAACAAGATCCTCATCAAGACGAACAGCAGGATTGCTCTCTATAAAGTCCAGAGAAACCTTGTGACCCAAAAGCTCACGAATGTTAGAAACACCATACTTAATCATAGTAGGACGTTCCAAACTTAGACCCCAGCCGTGCACTCGCATGTCCTTTGGCAGACCCATGGCTTCCAACATTTCTGGTCGGAACATACCAGAATTACCAATCTCAACCCACTTGCCTAAACCTTGGTGCCAACCAAAAATCTCCATACTGGGCTCAGTATAAGGATTATAAGCAGCCTTGAAACGAAGTTCATGTACACCCATCTTGGCAAAGAAGCGCTCCATGAACCCAATCAAATCGCCCAGCGTCAAGTTGTAGTCCGCAACAACACCCTCCACCTGATGAAATTCTGCCAAATGCGTCGCATCAACCGCCTCATTGCGGAAAACACGATCAATACTAAAGTATCGCGCAGGCTTAGGGTCCTGTGCAAGCTTGTGCAGCATGGCTCCTGAAATCGCAGTCGTGTGCGTGCGCAGCACAAGACGCTTAGACTCCTCTGCCTTCCAAGGGTATCTATAGCCTAAACTGTCGTACGCTCCGCCCTCGTGCGCAGCACGAACATTCTTCCAGTACGTCTTATCTTCGGGCTCATCAGCAACAACCGGGTCCTTCAAGTAAAAAGTATCCTGCAAGTCACGGGCAGGGTGCTGCTGAGGAACGAAAAGTGCATCAAAGTTCCAGAAACCACTGTCAACATACTGAGCCGTTGGCATCTCAGTAAATCCCATTGAAAAGAAAATCTGTCGAAACTCCTCTCGCACCTTGTTCAGAGGATGCAGAGCGCCAGCAAGAGGATTGGTACCTTCTGCAGCAAAGTTATAGGGCTTAAACTCAGCAGTCTTCCAAGCACCGCTCTGAACCATATCAATTGTCAAATCTGTTTCCAGCTTCTTGATTGTAAGAGCAAACTCAGGACCCTTGGCAATCTCAAAGGAAATCAGCTTTGTCTTGGTAACAAGTTTGCGCTTCTTAAGGTCAGCAAGCTCCTTGGCATCCGCCAGCGTGCCTGTCTCCTTAATAGTCTTGAGCTCTTCTGCAGTAGTATCCTCGGGTTTGGCCTCAACGCCCTTAACAAGCTTATCACCATCCTTCTTAACCCAGCCATTCTTGAATGCTCGTTGTTGACCAAGTTTACCAGAGGCACCCAGAACCTTGCCAACATCAGCAATCTTAAGACCCTCAAGTGATTTAACAACTTCTTCAAAAAGTCTCATTTCATGTGAGCCATTGGCAACAATATCCTCAGCCTCAGCTGTCAGAACCCATAAGTCCTTTTCTTCAGTTTTATAGGTCACCATCGACTTGGCGGCAAGCGATGTGACAGCAGCTTGGATCTGCTCAGAGGGAACGTCAGGGAAAGCCTTGCGACTGTCGACAATCTGCCCAGTCTTATCTAAGGCGCTCAAGATAGTCAATGCCAGATCAGACATATCGGATTCCTATTGGGTAAAGTGTATTCAAAAGTTGATGAATTGCAAATGCGTGTAGATCCACCAAGTAGATTGATGTAAGGAGTGGGGGGATATACCTGCTACCGTAGTTTGTTGTTGTTGTTGTTGTTATTTGCAAATAGAAAAAGGGAAAAAAAGAGAGGGAAAAAAAAAAAAATCAAAAAATTTTTGGTGGTGAAACCAAAAAAAAAAAAAAAAAAAAAAAAAAAAAAAGAAGTGACTCTTTGAGATTATTTTCCAGGGCAAGGGCTTTTTTATAATTAATTAATTAATTAATTATTTGGTTCACCAATATTTTAAAAAATAAAATTATAAAATTATTATAATATAATAATCTCACACAAAAACATACAAACAAACACACATTCTGTTTTATGGTGTTTTTAGTACACACTGAAAAAAAAAAAAAAAAAAAAAAAAAACCTCCACTAACTCTGGCCAGGCATCACCAGCTGGCCTTTAAAAAAAAAAAAAAAACTAAAACCACCACAACAATAACAACAGCCAATCAATCTATTCCTACATTAAAAAACTTTATCTTCTCCCTCCCCCCCTTTTTTTTTTTTTTTTTTTTTTTTCCCTCCCCATTTTCTTCTTCTTTTTCAAATCATGGAAGCTGAACCTTATCAAAACGGCTACCAAAACAGCACCATATCAACTACCACTCCTAACGGTATTGGTGGTCCCACTATTCTGGTCCAGATGCTTCCCTTAATTCCTCCACAAAGTCAGGATGAAGATGAAGATACAATTTCAGAAGATTCATTTTCTTCAGTTCCCGGTGGTAACTTTTCAGATGAAGAAGATTCAAATAATCCAGTAAATAAGCCTGCTCTGTGCAAATGGACCGGCTGTAACAGAACTCTCCCCTCTCTTCATGCGCTAGTCATTCACCTCCAAGAAGACCATTTTGGCCTTCGTCGGGCTAAATATTCCTGTGAATGGGAAAATTGCTCACGCAAGGGAATCCTTCAACCATCTAGGTTTGCTCTAGTATCTCATATGCGCTCTCATACTGGGGAAAAACCCTTCTATTGCACAGTCCCGGAGTGTGATCGTAACTTTACACGTTCTGACGCGCTTGCAAAACACCTTCGCACAGTCCATGAAACAGAACACTTTCGACCTTCTGCTGCAGATCCTCACGTCCATTCTGACTCGAAACCTTTACTTGACGCTACTCCACATTTCCCTAAACTCATTGCTGAATGGATTCACTTGGGTCCAGACGCGTCATCATCTGCTACAAGTTCTTCTTCATCATCATCATCTTCTTCTGCCCAACAAAAACAACAAAGTTCTACTAGCCCCAAAATAATCCATTGGCCTCCTGAAGGCACTTCAGCACAACCCCCTGCCTTAAATGAACTTTACATGAAAATCAAAAATATGAATGGCTCCGACCGTCTTTCAACCCTTCTCACAACTCCCATGAGCCCAGCCCTTTTACAAGTCGAGGGTCGCGGGGGTCTTGACCGGTTTTGGGCTGAAAACGATATTGATAGAGATTTATTTGGAAAGTCCACAGCCGATATGCTAACCAGAGAAGAAGCACTCGGCACTCCTACTCCAGCCACAGCTGCACCCCCACCAAATAAACGTCGTAAGAAGGATGACCAAACAACAACAGCAACAACAACTAATTCCCAAGATCAGCAATTACAATTGCATCAGAATCAACAAAAAACTCAAAATGAAGAAAACTCTACAAGGCCTACAGTGGCAAAATGGAAACAAACTTTTGATATCCTCAAGCGCCGATTGGTATGGACTTTACAACATGAAAATGAACTTGAAAAGGAATACAGAGAACTTCAGTATCTCAAGTATCGCACATGGATCGAGGTTCAAAACCTGACAGACAAGACCCTGGCCAAAGCTATCGGGACCGAGGATATCAATGAGCTTATGCTATGGCCTGAAAATCACATCTCTGGCAATCTACGTCCGGAACTCGAGGGAGAAGATGTTTTAAAAATGACATTTGATCCAGCCTCACTGCTTCATCCAAGCGCCCGCATTTTCCCTCAGATTGAAAAACCAAGTGTTTTAAAAACAAGATCTGGCAAGTCCCGTTCATTAACCCATGAAGACGGTGAAGAGTATGAAAATGAAGATGCCCATGGCCTGAATGAAGAAGAAGAAGAAGAAGAAGAAGATTTTGATGACATTGACCTGGATAGCCACTACCTTGATGATGATGACAGTTTGCTTGGATCTGGCAAGCTGATGGAGGATATGGTTCCAGGAACATTTTTACAGGAGGCTGCGGCAGCTGCAGCTGCAGCTGCCGCTGCTGCCACTGCAGTACCAACCCCACCTGCCACCAAAAGAAAACGTGCTGCTCCTGGCAAGGGCAAAGCGCAGGCCGATCCCAATGCATCTAAAAAGCCCCGCGCCAAACCTGGACCTAAACCAAGGAACTCTGCAACTGCTTCGGGCGCACCCGCACCCGCAACCAAAAGCCGTAAGCGAGCAGTTGTACCTAAGACGGAAGACGGTGCGGCAAAGCCCAAAGCAAAGTCGCGTGGGGCTAAGGCTGCAACACCGACAGGAACTGCAACACCACTTGATAACACAAATGAGCCTCCCAAGACTACTACCCGCAGAGCCAAAGCAAAGGCAGCTACACCATCACGTATCAAATCACAGTCTCCAGCTCCTGGTGCATCCAGTATTACCAAACGATCAAAGGGAGGGCGTAAGTCTAATGCGACCAAGGCGGCAGAGGCAGCTGCTGCGGCCGCAGCAATTGGCGCAGAAGCTAAAGCCAAGGCTGATGCCGCTGTAGCAGCTGCAGAAGCAGCAGGGATTAAGCTTGAGGATGATGATGATGATAATGACGATGATAATGATGATGATAACGATGATAACGATAACGACTTTGATGGAGAAGATAATTCTTTTATGCATTTTAACGGAGATACTAGTAAGACTGATGACAGTGCTACTGATGCTGACGCCGTCGCCGCTGCTGCTGCTGCTGCTGCTGCTGCTGCTGCCAGCCGTGCCTCGTTGGAAGAAAGCTATCGCAGTGAGCAAGGTGATCTGGATGTTCTTGTTGATGATGACATAGATGATGTTGATGATGACGTGAATGATTCTCCAGTGTCATCCCCGGTGGCTTCTAGCTATGCTCATCAACCGGTAGGCTTTGGGACCGGTCTGTAAATAGATCTTTTGTAAAAAAAAAAAAAAAATATCAAAAAAGATAAAAAGAAGTATTCTTTAAAGTTTTATTAATTAATTACGTCAGCTATAGATATCATGTGACACTGTCATAACAAAGTGCTGATTAAGATTTTTACCTTAAAAAAATAGATTTCCCAATATTGGAGATAGGGTTGCTCGCTTCGCTTTACCCCCAAGGGCCATCTTTCCAACTTCCCCCACCCCAATGAAGCAACCAGATCCTTCTAATACCAAAGGCCAGCTAAGATTTCAAAAGACGATACTTTATTAACCATGTCTTTAAGACACCTCAATAACATCGGTTTTGCTCTCTTTGGCCAGCCCTGTTCGGGCATTTTCAAGGACATTAAAGGTCGTCTCCCATACTACCTATCTGACTGGACCGACGCATTGAATTATCGTGTGGTACCGGCGACCATCTTCATGTACTTTGCTAATTTGCTTCCTGCTATTTCATTTGCACAAGATATGTTTGACAAAACAGATAACGCTTTTGGTGTAAATGAAGTACTACTTGCTTCAGCGATTGGCGGGATTGTATTTGGAATCTTTGCTGGTCAACCTTTGTGCATTGTGGGTGTGACAGGTCCAATTGCTATTTTCAACTATACTGTCTATGAGATTATTGTACCTAAAGGTATCCCATATTTCCCCTTCATGTGCTGGATATGTCTTTGGTCTATGGTTATGCACTTTATTATTGCCATCTTTAACTGGATCAACTCGCTACGCTATGTAACTCTCTTTTCCTGTGATATTTTCGGGTTCTTTATTTGTATCATTTACATTCAAAAGGGAATCCAGATTTGCACTCGTCAGTTTGAATTTGCTGGAAATGCTAACGACTATGGATCTGCCACCACAACTCATGGTGATTTGCCCATCAATTTGGCTGCCGGATACTTTTCAGTCATGGTGGCCCTACTCATGATGGTTTTCGGTGTCCTTTGCTCTGTGATTGGAAATTATACAAAGTTTTTTAAGCCTCCCATTCGTAAGTTCATTAGTGACTATGGAACCCCCCTAACAGTGGTGTTTTTTTCTGGGTTTGTCCATTTCGGTGGCCGTATGGCCAGCACACCTGTTCAGCACTTACCTACCACACGATCGTTCCAACCAACTTATTCTGGTGAACATCTTGGTCGAACACATGGATGGTTTATTCATTTTTGGCATGGGATTTCTGTTGGAGATGTATTTCTTGCTATCCCCTTTGCTATTCTTTTAACTCTCTTGTTTCTCTTTGACCATAATGTTTCATCACTGATTGCCCAGGACTCAAAATATAAACTAAAAAAACCAGCCTCGTTCCATTGGGATTTCTTTTTGCTTGGCATTACAACGGGTCTTGCTGGAATTTTAGGGATCCCTGCGCCTAACGGATTAATTCCACAGGCACCGTTACACACTGAGAGCTTGTGCATCTCGGCAGATCATATTAAAAACCACCAAGAAACTTCTGATACTGAGTCAGATACAGAGTTTATCAATATGTCTGGAACAAACTACGTGAGGGCCATTGAACAACGAGTAAGTAATACTTTACAAGGACTTCTTATTATGGGAACCATGAGTGGACCTTTACTTGTGGTTTTGGGTCTTGTTCCACAAGCAGCTCTTGCTGGGCTATTTTGGATCATGGGCATCAGTGGTCTCATTAATAATGGGCTTACATCCAAGTTACAATATATTATTACCGATCATCGGTATCTTTCCCCAGAAATGAAACGACTTGATGGGTGTAGCAAGCGTGGGCTTTATATATTTACTTTTGCACAAGCAGTTTTTGCAGGAGCAGAGGTTGGCATTACACAGTCTATAGCAGCAGTTGGGTTCCCTGGAGTTTTACTTCTTTCAGTTGTTGTTGGATATGTTTTACCATTTATAATTTCGGAAGAAGATATGGCAATTTTGGACCGTCCAACGGCGCCGGCATTTGTATTAGCAAATCTGAGGCGGGTACGCAAATCTACAAATTCAACTGCTCGCAATAGTGCAGAAATGATGGACGAGGAGGAAAGCTATCAAGTGGAAATGCAAGACATTTTAGACACCCATGATAATAAAACACAAGGAATAGATACGGAGTCGCGGGAAATTGAAGAGCATCCGCAAGACTCTGAAGGCAGTCATTTACACCACCGCCACAACATTGAATAATAATAATACTAAAAAAAATAAAAAAAATAAAAAATAAACGGAAGGGGAGAGAAGGGAGCGGAGCAACGTGAAAGAAAAATTTCTTTACGGGTGTGTTCGCGTGCGTTTTCTACAATAAGAAACCGAGATTGTATAATTTTTTTTTTTTAACTCAGCACAAGACCAGCCAATTGCTAGTGTTCCAGCCCACGTTTTTTTTTTTTTTTTACTTTCTTTCTTAAATCTGTGTTTATCTTTCTAATTTAGTTTTTATCGTGTCAACCATATATATATATAATTTAATTATTACCATTATAATTTTGAAAAAAAAAAATATTATTATTATTATTATTATTATTATTATTTACACGCATAGGCGCACATGTTGTTGTTGTTGTTCTCAGCAAATCAAATCAGACACGCGGATCCGTGGAGACGGCTCAACTGTGGCACGTGGCTGGCTGCTAGGACTCTGAGTCTTGTCGCGAACAAGTGCTACAACAGCAGTGGTCCCAGGTGCTGGGCTTGCCATACTACTGGATGGCGGACTACTACTACTGCGACTAACAGAATCTGAAGTCTGGCTTGCATTTGCCGTTGAAGTTGTCGATGAAGAAGTTGTTGATGTTGAAGTTGAAGTTGAAGTTGATGTTGACGCAGTAGGTGTTGATTCTGTAGTTGTTGCAGATACAACCAAATCCTGTCGTGTGGCCGAGGCCCCAGTTACAGGTGAACCACTTGTAGAATGCATCTTTGTGAGCGCTTCTTGGTCTGTAGCCACCAGTGACGGCGAAGGAATTATACGTTCCGATTGTGAAAATGATGAGCGATGTAGTTTAGTCAACCCAGCAACAGCCGCTGCAGCAGCTTCAGCATCGGCGTCCAAAATAACAGGAGAAGAATGGCCATTTTTACTTGAACCGGGGTTTACAGGTGAATTAGTAGTAGTAGCGGTAGCAGTAGCAGTAGCAGTAGCAGTAGTAGTAGAAGTGTCCCTGGTGTCCGGGTCGGAAGAACCCAAAGAATTGGGACCCGCTGTCGTGGGACTAGGGAGCTCAGATTTATCTGTTATATATTCAGATTGCTGTTGCTGTTGTTGCTGTTGCTGTTGTTGCTGTTGCTGTTGTTGCTGTTGCTGTTGTTGCTGCTGCTGCTGTTGAATCTGGTGAAGTTCTGGGTGATAAACGTCGGGCTGTTGTGGCTGCACATGTGCTGGTGCACTCTCTTCTTGCAAGTTACTGGAAATAGTAGGGCTTGACCCATTTCCACCGGCATTGGCACCGGCACCGGCACCGGCACCGGCAATTTGCTGCTGGAGCTGAATTAAATGAAATTGCATTTCGTGGTTTTTCGTCTCTAGAGTCTCCACGCATTGTTTGAGATACCGCACATACTCCACAGTAGCTTGTAAAATAACAAGCTTGTGGAGCCCAGTTGCAGCTGCAGATGGCGATGAACTACCACCACCGCCATTTGCAGCATTTGCTACGCTTGCTCCATTACTATTATTACTAGAATTGTTGTTGCTACCAGAATTATTATTATTACCACCTCCGCCAGCAGAGGTGATGGACTGCTGACACGCAGGAACCAGCTGCTTTAGAGCATCAAACTCCTGGTTCATTTTTGACCGCCTCCGACGCTCAATTTCTGAGTGAGCTGTCCGGCGGGCGTGTCTCTTGAGTTCCTGATCAGACAGCATGGGTGGGGTGGGCGGTGAATTGTTTTCATCTCCATTTGTAGAAGAAGAAGAAGAAGAATTAACAGCAGCACCAGTGCCACTGCCAGTACTATCTTTTGTTGATGCCTTGCGTGATTGTCTTCCACTTGACCGTTCGCTATTGATGGCCATACTGCGTGGGGACAATGCAGGAGAAGTCATGGGAGTGGAAGAAATTGAATCAAAGGCAGAGGCTGAAGACACAACGCTACTATTACGTCGCCGTCGCTTTGATCCACTGGAGGAAAGACTTGGAGATTTCCCTGAGTTTGCAGCCGAAAACCCCGAGTTCTCAATGGTATTGGGAGTAACATGAATAATGGTACGCTTGCGGTGGGGTGGTGGTGGTAGTTTCACGGGTTGGATCGATGGAGAGATTTCATCGCCAAGTCTTGGGGTATTTGTGACAGATGATGGTAACGATGGCGCTTTGGTATTGTTATTGTTATTATTATTATTGTTGTTGTTGTTGTTGCTGTTGTTATAAATGACTTCGTTTTCTAAAGCTGGAGGTGGTAGAACCAGGGGATCCAGGATGAAGCTGTGTGTATTGATTGCTGGGGACGCTTGTTGAAACTCATAGTTTGCTGGAGAAGGTAAGGCCGTAGTATGGGAAGCTGGGATAATAGTTGAGGCTGGTTTTACAACTTGGCTAGGTTTTTTAGATGAAGGTTTGACAGCTGCAGATGTGCTTTGAGATCGAGCTTTTGATTTGGATGATGCAGACTGAGGTTTGGAAGGTTTTGATTGGGAATTTTGAGGTGCCTCTTGGGCAGTAGTGGAAGTTTGTGAGTCTTGTAGAGTGTCCATGGCTTTAGGCTTAATGAGGACTGGTTGTTTTCTCATTGAATTTCAAAAAAAAAAAAAAAAAAAAAACGACAATAACCAGAAAAAAAAAAAGTTGAATAAAAAAAAAAAAAAAACCTAGGCGGAGTATGCAAAAAAAAAAATAATAATAATAATAAATAATAAATAAATAAAAAAAAATTAAAAAAAAAAATTAAAAAAAAATTGAGAAATTCAGGCACCCATGCGCGGGAATTTGAAGAATATTTATACCAGAGGTTGGCACGCGGGCGCGTGGTGCCAATGGGGATAACCGATAGGTTCTCGATCCCGCCGAAAGAGAGCGTGGACTGAGCACCGGCCACGCGTGTGGGCCAACCAAAACGACAAGTGGGCCCAGGCATTTCAATGAGCTTATGAGAGGTTCATTTGAGCACGCGAGCATTGCAACGTGGGTCTTGTGTGGAGAGAGAGAGAGAGGGGGGGATAACAAGGATAAGTCTTGTTGTTGAATTCAGCAACAAGTCGCGTGGACCGATTGAAGATTATAATGGGAGATATCATATTTTCAAGGGGGATAATTAATCAATGACGGAGGGCTTTTTTTTTTCCCTCTCCAAAGATGGTGATTTATTTATTTATTTTTATTTTTATTTTTATTTTTACTCACATAACACAGTCTATCTAATAGAAGAATAGCTTAACATTTCGGTATACGCACATTTCGGGAGATTGAAAAAAAAAAAAAAAATCTTTCTTTCTTTCTTTCTTTCTTACTTTAATCTGGGTTTTCTATACTCAAAATCGGGTCAACATCACGCACGTTTCTGGGGGCTGCTTGCTGGAAAAGGCAAGCACGTGGTGGATTTCCGTCCTCATTGGGCGTGTTTTGCCAAAGAAAAAAAAAGAAAAAAGTCTTCTATTGAATAGATAGATCTGTGGTGCCTAAATATTGGGTATCATAAACATGTGTGTGTCATGGGTACTGCGATTGGTTGTGGAGGTTTAGAAAAAATAATTGACTGACTGATTGACAAACTGGTGTGGGGCTGCAACCAACTTTAAAATAGTGGAGAGGAAAAAAAAATTAAAAAAAAATTAAAAACCCTAACCCATTAGATTTCCTACACATTACACACATATAACAATCTGGTCCGTTTTTTTTTGTTGTAGTTATAGTTTTTTTTTTTTTTTTTTTTTTTTTTTTTGCCAGGGACCTTTCTTTAGGGGGGGGATAAAAAAAAAAATTTGTCCGCGTGCCAAATTTGTCATTTTGTAAGTTTTTTTTTTTTTTTTTAATTCATTTTGCAAATTCTGAAATTGAAAACTTCCATCTCATGGGGTATTTATTATTATTATTATTATCATTATTATTGTTCATGGTATAACTATCTCAAAGGTATATCAAAACTAAAATGCATTTGGTAAGAAGAAAGAAAGAACCCACAAAGAAGAAGAAGAAAAAAAAAATAAATAAAAAATAAAAAAATAAAACTTTTATTGGTGGATTTTCAATGAAAAATTTCATACAAACACCAATCACTTTATTATTACTTTGTGAATTTACAAATCACCACCACCACCCCAACAACAACAACAAACTTTTGATCTAAACAAATCAAAAAATCATCAAAATAATTCCATGTTATGATTATTGAGGACTTCGTGACCGACTTCGTGACCGACTTCGTGACCGATTTCGCAATGAAGTCCCGACATAATGTCGATCTTCATGCCTCCAATCAGTTGCCGGATGTGGCTTCTTGTAATCTGTCTTTGACACACCAGTTTTAAACCCGGGCTTATCAAAACACATTTCTGGTAATGCAGATATGGAATTGCGGCTATAAACAAGCTCTGGATAACCATAACAATACTGCGAATCTCGAGTATCAAACCCATACGATCGTTGTGTTGTCACAGGCAGTGCTGGTTGTGTTTTGGGAACAAATAATTCATTCATGTTTTTAAATACTGTCGTAGGCAATCGATAATGTGCTGATTTAGCCATGTCCATGTAACCCATCCCAAGGGTTGTCCCAAGCATTTCTGCCCATAGATTTAAAACTTTTAACACATCAGATATTTTCAAATTGCCCGTAATGCTTGCATTCACTATATCTTGTGTTTGGCTCTTAATTGATGTCATTACCGTAGAATGTTTAGACATATTGCTCTCTTTATTAACCGAGACCTTGACCCATTCATCTAATAGCAACACTAACCCTTCAAAATCAAGTAAATTTATCACAAATTTTTCTTCAACCAAGGCCCGTAGATTTCCAGTCACATCTGCTATAATAGTTCCAGCCAACCGTCGTAGGTAAATATTTTTAAAGTTGGCTTCCCGATCAAATAAAGATATTAACCGCAGCTCACGTACTAATTCAATATAAACACTACCAAGCCGTGGTGCCGGAGTCGTAAACAACTCTTCAAAATGAAACTGGAATCGATAAAGTAAATCTGAAGGTGAAGCATTTAAAACAAATCTATACACAGACGGTAAACTTTTTTCATCAATATGTGTGTAGATTGCATGCCGAATAGAAAATAATAGGAAAACAACAAGCTTCATTGGTAATGGAACCATATAATTATGCTTAGGCTTAGAATACATGCGGGAAATAATGTCCACCAACTCTGCCAGATCCAAAAGATAAGCATAGTTAATTGTAGATAAAAACTTTAGAGCACTACCATATAAGGTCTGAATCTCTTGACAAAACTCATGAAATTCATGCTGCTTTGATTTATTAGTGAGGTAGAACCTTTTCTCCATGTCGTATGGCCGTACCACGCATCCATATGGCACTTTTAAAGGGCTTGAATAAATCCGCAAGTACTTCCCCACTTGAGTCGCTGAATATATGGACAAAAACTCATCAAATCCTTTAGCAAGTGAAAAGTGTCGAAAAAAATACCGCTGAGGGTAGTCGTACGGTAAGGAGTCTGACATTATACAAAAACTACTATTCTTTTCATTTTTGAAAATATATTTTTAAGCAATTAAATAAATAAATAAAAATAAACGCGTTCCTTTTTTTTTTTTTTTTTCGTCAAAGTTAGTTGTTATTGGAATTGATTATGCCTATATACTGATTAGTTATAACAAATTTTTTTTTTTTTTTAAATTTTCTAATCGCGTTTGTAACAATACTTGTAACAAAGAGTGAATTATTAAATTGGTGAAACTTTTTAAAGGTTTCATGAATTAGTGTTAACCTGACAATAATTTCCATTTACTTTAAAAAAAAAAGGATTACTGATTATGAATAAATATCTGTTTTTAAATCACATACTAGTGTTAAAAAAAGTTTATCTCATACCAAAGATCGATATAAATTCAATATGTTTAATACATTCAAATTCATTGAAGTTTTTAATAAAAGCGGTACTTTTTAGGATGACCATTTATTTCAAATATAACATGAAATAAAAAAATATGATACTGAAAACAATTACAGAAAACAAAAAGCAAGTTATTATATTAATAATAACTTTATTATGAATTATTTATCACAGTCGTCAACCAATCGTTTACCTTATTTTAAGTAACCCCCCTTGTGCATTATAAGCCAATGGATTTGAATAATACCAGAGTTTAATATCGATACTACCATTGCAGTTGTTAATAACTTTTTTTTTTACATGAGATCCCATCATTCTATCATCAAGTTTTATCATTGGTTTTTTTTATCATCGAGTTTTTATCAGTCGTTGACCTTTATCGCTGTCACTAATAAATTTGTGAGGGAAAATACCAAAAAGCCTGAATATCATAGAACAATAATAAGGCTATGGTGAACTGATAAAAATATTTTAAACAATTACGTTAAAAATGCTATTTTTCTTTTTACTAGATGTTCTTTTTTTGTTAAATCATTCAACAAAAAAGAAAAATAAATAAATAAGCTGTAAATATAATCTACAGCGAGCACATAAATCTATTAAATCTTGTACTGATATCTTTAAAGATTATGCTTAAAAAATTTGATTCAACTTATGTTTCTTCCAGATACTTCCACTTCTTCAATTAATACCTTACAGAAAATATTTAAAGAAATGGTTTATTAAAAACCGCAAAAAAACGCAAATTAAATAAAAGAGTTATAGAATATTATTACTATTACTTTTAATGGGGATATTCCTTGTTTAAAAGTTATATATAGAGTTTCTTTTTTTTTTTTTCTCAGGATTCTGGTTTTCCTAGGATAACAATAATGTGAACAAAACTTGTACGTTGATTGATTTTTAGATTTGGTAAATCTTTATAAAAAGCCATATATTGGAGTTTCATATTTGTATGACCTTTGAAGAAATAGATAACGTTTATAGAATGGTTTCTTAAATTGAAGACTATTCCAGTAACAATAATTTATAATTAAAAATCATAAGTTTATTTTTTTTAAAAATGAGTTTTCGTTTTGATTTTATATGGTTTTTTTTTCTAGGTGCAAAAACTATACTGTTTTTTTTTTTTTTTTTTTTTTTTTTTTTTTTTCTGCACAGAATTCGTTACTTCATTTAGCAAGTTATTTGGTTATTGATTTTTTATAGAATAGATTTTATCAGAATCATTTACTGCTATTGATTAGCTCTTCTACCTATTTAAAATACTTTTGTAATACCCTAGATGAATGTTGATTATCTTTAGATATTTGGACATTGGGAAAAGAAAAAAAATAATAGTAATATAGATTCTTTTATTGATCACTGAAAAATACATTTGTTTCAATTGAAAATTTTCAACTTTCCTAGTTCTTTAATTCTTATGTTAACAATCATTTACCCAAAATACTTTATTTATTTTAACTTAACTTTTCTTGAAATGTTTTTTTGATGAAATAAGTTATCTCACAACAATTTGGAGTATCATTTTTTTTACACAACTTTCTTCTGTATATTTAAAAACATGGATTTACAAATTATTAGAAGTAAATTTAAAGGGTAATTATTCAATTGTTTGGCGTCCAATTTTAAACTCGAAAAAATTGAAATCATTAAGATTGATAAATCCTGTTTTACCCAAATCTAAATATATAATGAATATGAGGTCAGTGACGACAACCAAAACACAATATCTTTTTTTGAATGATATAGTTTAATCTTTAATTTTTCAATATTAAACACACCTGTCTATTAAAACCAGGGGAAAAAATAGCAAAAGGAACTCTTTTTTTTTTTTTTTTTTTTTCAAAAACCCAAATTTCCAAGCAATCATAAAAAAAAATGGTGCTTTTATTCTTCTAATTTTTGAAAAAAAAAAAAATTCCAACTTGGGCTTGATTTAATGAGATGTTATAGGTTTATAAATGACTAATTAATATTGCTTCGTATGTCTTCTTGGATAGATAATTATAATTATGATTTACAGCGCTTGAATTTGATTGATATTACTAAATCTGGACTTTTAAGAAATAAGGAGGTGATTAATAAATAGTATGTAAACTTAAGTCTTTGTTTTTTTTTTTTTTTTTCGTAAATAGTGGGTAAATAAAGAAGAAACTAGCTTGAAATTTCACTAGGCATCTTAAATTATGTTGTTTAAGTGATAAAAAATGTACCAGTTCTTATTTGGTATTAGAATAAGATAAGATAAGATTGATTGAATGAATGAATGAATGAATGAAAGTATTTCGGTTTTTTTTTTTTTCTTATTGTTATATTCAAAAAAAAAAAAAAAAAAAAATAGTACATTTATTCTCTTATATAATTTCTTATCGTTGTTGTTTTTTTTCCTTTATTTAATACTGATAAGAAATTGATAAGTGTAAAGCCTCTCTCTCTCTCTCTCTCTCTCTCTCTCTGGACATTGGTAAAAAAAAATTTACTGGTTCTTTTTGATAAGAAAGATAATACCGTAATTTAATAATAAGTTCGATAGAAAACATTGGTATGTTTTTTAATCAATTGATTGAAAAATGGTTTAAGTGAAAAATAAAACTGGGCAAGATAAATATGATTCTAGAAATAGTTATTAGAAAATTATTTTAGTAACCAGAACCTATTGATACAAAATGACGTGATGTGATGAATTTTACAGTGTATGCCACCATATTTCACAGAATACTTACTCACATCTTGTGGATCCCCCCTTAGACGTTTTTTTTCTTATCAAATTATTAATCTTAATAAAATAATAAGTTAAATTATAATTAAACATTTAAAGAACTAAAAACTGTTTATTTTATTCTATTTTATTTTTCAATAGCACACGTCATTTCTTTTCTGATTTAACTAAATAAACGTAATGAAAGGAGTATTTAAATGTGTCACTTCAAAAGCTGACGTCTTAAAGGTTTAAATTGTCATGTTTAAACATCTTTATTTTATTTTGTCTTTTACTATTATTTCAAAGACATTAAATTTTAATAATAATTATTTAATAAATATGTATATATGTTAATATTAATACATATTATCTACTTTTATTCTTCAATAATATGTTATTATTTATATTATATATATATCGTTTATATTGTCTTTTTTTTTTTTTTTTTTTCAAAATTAATCCTCATTGTAATATTCATTTCCCGAACTGTAATCTCTGTCATTTTGATAATTTTGATAATTTTGATAATTTTGATAATTTTGATAATTTTGGTCGTAATCATGGTCGTTATGATCACGATAGACATCTTGGGAACCTTCATGGTGTCTATTTTGCTGTTCCTCGTGATGTTTGGTTCTTTTCGATGACCGTTGTTTGCGTTTAGATTTAGGTTTGTAAACTTTTGGAAGGATTCGTGTTAAGTACTGTGAGTCTGAGTTAGAAGCTGCAAAAAAGCTAAAAGTGGGATTTCTTGAGACAAATGAAATGTCTTTTTCAGGACCAAAAGGGTTGTTTTGATTTTTGGAATCGATGGGAAGTTTTGAGTATGCACAGGTAGGGTTAATTTGATAACCTGTTTTTTTAGTTGTTCCCAATAGTTGAACCCAGGTTTCAAGAATATAAAGCAACTGCTCAAACTCCAGTGTTCCTTGTTGTAGTGATTCAAATGCCTTAGTGGTAGAATTTTTAATTTTAAAGAAAATATTAGATTCAGAAATAGTGTGATGATCAATTGGTATTTTTTCAGGAAGCCAGCTATCAATCAAAAGAAGTAAAGGTTCAAGATTGAAAAAATCATTATTGTAACTTTTGAATAGATCTTTTAAGTTATTAGTGATGGAAAATAAGTTGTTTCCTGTTAAATGTCTGCAAGATAATACTGCAGGATCAATAGGGTCAACATAATCTGGTTGGAGGTAATTAAGAAGATTAAGTTCACGCAAGTATGCATTGTAAAAGGCAGGTTCTCGGGGGAATTCAGTTTTGAAAAGGGGTAAAAAGAAGGGTACAAAACGATAGAGAAGATCAGCTGGAGATGCGGATTGAACAAATCGATGAACCATAGGGATAGACGTTTCGTCAATTGCACGGGCAATGTTTGTTCTAATAAAAATGAAAAGCTCCACAGTAATACGTAAGTTGGTTGGAATAAGAGTTATTCCTTTAGGTGCCAGGAGTCTAGGAACAATGTCATAAGCTTCGACGAGTTCGATGAGATAAGGGTAGTGTAATTTCGAAAGGAAGTGAAGGCCTCTTCCATATGCATCCATACATTTACGATAAAACCCTTTAAAGTTATAATAAGTTGAGCGTGAATTGAGTCTAGTGGTTGGGCTTAAAAAAGTTGGTCGGCTGATCATGCCTGTTTTGGGGAGTCGAAGGTTTTCATTGAGTGTGGAAAGAAATTTTTCAATGTCGCGTTGGGAGTATGAGGTGTGGAACTCGGCAAAAGTTGGTGCCAGGGGGAAGTTTTTAAGAAAGTAACGCTGAGGATACTCTGGGTGAATCTGTTGTTGGCTGAAAGCATGGAAGTTAATAGATGAGAAAGGAGCAGAAGGCGGGGAGAAGGATGATTTAGAGGTTAGAGATGAAGAAGCTAAAACCATTGCAGTTTCGGAAGAGTCCGAAGGATGGTGATAGCGGGAATTATGATAGGAGTGGGAATCGTTATCAGCAGAAGTAGAAGTGGGAGCAGAGGCAAATGCAGAATTATCATTAGAAGTAGTATTATCAGTTCTGACATTTGCTGCTGGCAACCCTGCTGCCGAGCGTTTCAGCAGTTTTGCTGTGTAGTGTTTCTTTTTTGAAGTAATTGTTGCTGCTAAAATTAATTAATTAGTTAATTTTTTTTTTACTATTATTATTTGTTTTAAGAAAAAATATTTTAAACATGTATATATTTAGATATACATATATATATATATCTATATCTATAATCAAACAAAAGTTTTAGGGAAATAATAATTTGGATATAGGCATGGTTGAAAATGAATGTTTATGTGTTTTAGATTTGGTGGGTTCAGTTTTAAGAATAGCAAAAAAAAAATAAAAATAAAAAATAAAATAAAATAAAAAAATAAAATAAAATAAAAAAATAAAAAAATAAAAAAATAAAAATAAAAATAAAAATAAAAACGTTGGATTTTTCCAGCCAAATTTTCTTAAAGGAGGTTTTAATTAGGGGAAGGTTGAAAGAAGAGAATGTATGAGAAAGATATTAATTGTTACATTTGTTTCATTTGTTACAAGATATATTTTAATATTATTATTATTATATAGAAGAGGAACCTAAATTGTTGTAATATATGTGTTTTTATATGTAATGTAATAAATTTTGTAACATAAAACTGTTGCTATTGCTATTGCTGTTGCTGTTGCTTTTTTTTTTATAATTTTTAACAAAGTGTGGTTGCATGGGGCAACCGTTGTGACGTTTGCGTTGCAACAAAAGGTAAAGATGCGCAGCGGAGTTAACCAAACGGGGATACAGTCACATGAGCAGCTGGTTAACAATTATCAAAAAAAAAAAAAAAAAAAAAAAAACGAGGCTTCTTATGGAATTAATTGATTGATTGATTGATTGATGAAATTGATGATTACAAAGAAATCATTTGTAAGTTTTAACAAGAAAAAAAAAAAATTTTTTTCAATAATCGGAAATACTTGAAAAAAAAAAAAAAGTTTATGTGTAGAATGCCGAAGAATACTTTATGATGATTACAATATTTAAATATTGGTATATAATACTTAATAAATTAAAGAGTTTCAATCATGAATGTGAAAATCTCGGGTAAAATAATCAATAATTCATAGCGTGTATATAGTATAAAAAAAAGTATATTCTAATATCTTTGTTTCCATACTACTGATATCAACTATATATAAAACCTACTAAAAATATCACCCTATTCTTACTAAATAATGATAATAATAATAATGATAATCGATACACTACCTTTGTGGAATCCTGGTTAGGAATAATGCGAGTTAAGAAAGGCAGGCCCAATTTAGAACTCTCCGTTATCAGCATGAAAGTTGGAGCTGGTTTATTACGATGGTAATGGTGATTATTATGATTATGATTTTGGTGGGTTTTTTTGTTGTTCTGTCTTTGTTTGGCTTATTTATCTTTTTTTTTAAAGGCGCTCGCACGCGTGCGCGCAATGATCCGGGTGTGAATGGTGCAATACTAAAGCTATATATATATATATATAAGAGGAATACTGTTTTGTTTTTATATGGTGTATGAAATTAAGAGAACAGGGATAGTAGTAATATAAACACAAGCCGAGACCTATACGACCAGCGGGGTTTTTTTTTTGTTGGGCTATATAATTTTCCCGTAATATATATATTTGTTTATATTAACAAACAAACAAAAAAAAAAAAAAAAAAAAGCAAGCAAGAGTAAAATCTGATATTTAATATAATTTTTTTTTTCATTTATGAAGCAATAACAATAATTGAAACCAAATAAAAAAATAAAAAGCCTATTTAAATGAAAATCGGGTTGTGATGTTGTTATTCAATAATAAAACATTGGTATTAATTACAATTTATTGATCGCTCAGTCCCCTCTTTTTTTTTTTTTTTTTATTTTCTTGTATATTTTTCTTCCTCCGCTTTCTCCGATCAATAGTTTTGATTGTAAATTCCCGCGTAAAAATACCCACTTTGTATATCGTATCGTGACTATTTATGACTACATCCTTTGGGTTAAAGCTTGGACTTAAGTTTGGGCTTTCTTCTGTTTGTGTGTGTGTGTTTTGGTGCATTTTTTTGTTGTTGGACTAGTTTGCTTGATTTTAATAATCAAAATATGGGCGGCACCGCATTGTCCCTCGTCGAGCCACATGAGACATCATAAACAAAAACATCATCATCAATATCATCATCAATATCAATATCAAAGAAGCAATTCTAACATTAAAAGCTCTTCTTTCTACTACCTTGGCTGTTACTATTGAAGTTTCGGTCTTGAGACAAAAAAAAAAAAAAAAAAAAAAAAAAAAAAAGTGACTATTATATATATATAGTCCAAAATAAGCGACTTTGGTTCATTCCATCTTCGGACAATGATAACTTGTTAACCTCTCTTAAATGCCCCTCCTCTATTCTCACATTCGGGACCCTCCTCTTCCTCCTCTTCCATCCCCCTCCTCCTTCTCCGTCATTTTATTTCTTCTTCATCCGTCGCAAAGCCCCGTTCACATGACGTCCATCTTAAGCCAGAGCCGCGGTTACCCGGAGCTCCGAGTTGCGCTTGCACTCAAAACTTCCCACTAGACAAACTAATTTTGAATGTACGCGCGGCAATGACTAATGATGTATTTGTGTGTGTGAGGTGAGCCGCACTAGTGTTCCAAAATAGGAAATTGTTTAAGTTTCAGGCCATTAATAATGAAAATTTCCCCTTCTACACACTTCTACGCTCAGCCCAGTTTGAGAAATTATAAATATCTTGGACATCCCACTAAGTTTTTTTTTTTATGAAATCCCTTTTCTACTCTTTCCTTTCCCATTAACTTTTTTTTTTTTTTTAAATAAAGAAATATCGCAAACCCTTTTTTTTTTTTTTTTACATTTATACATATATATATATATAGATTATCTGCATCCTATATATAAAAAATTACAACCGAAAATCTGCAAAATATTCTCTGACAATAAAACAAAAAGCCAACTCAGAAACCCCTCATAGAATTATCCCAAACCATGCTATCTACCTCAGCATCCCAAAAACAATCAACCCAAACTTCTTCTACTTCTTCTTCTTCTTCATCAGCTTCGCCTTATTTTGCTCAACTATCTGGTCTACTTTATGATTCATCTTCGGCTCCATACACTCCTGCTAGGAATTCATACTCAGACCTTCCAGAATGCGTAAATCCATCTCTCCTCCAGCTACACCCAACTGGTCCTACTGATTACTCTTATTCTAGACCCCAATCATCTTCCTCGTCATCTTCATCTTCCGGTAATGACTTTTCCACATATCCTCCTTCATCCTCTTCTTCCTTTTCTCTGAATTCTCCTAGCCTTGCTGGAAACGCAAGCCCTAGAACCGGCACTCTGCGCACAGCAAGCCCAGCCCTGCTCCAAACCTCATCATCTGGTTTTGACTCTCAATATTTTAATATGGACAATCATCCACCCTTTGGCAGTCTACCTACCCCTCAACACAACCACTCTTCTCCATTATCTCTGACTCAGACCCCTATCAGAACTCGTGCTATCCACATGAACCATCCTGATGAAGATGCTCTTATGGAAGACTTGATGGATGATAATAGTGATGATGAGGATGATCCATATACCTCGCCAAATAACTTTAATGTTGATTATTCTTCATGTGCATTTGATAACTCTAATTACATGATGAATAACAATAGCAATGTAACATCAAGTTTTAGCCAGCAATCTTTGCCGCAAATTCACCATGAGCAACAACAACAACAACAACCACAGCAACAATCACAACAACAACAGCCTAGAAGATCTTTCCCTATTTTTGCTGGCCCAACTAATATTCTCCCCATGACATGCGCTCAAAACTTGGTGAAACCTGTTGACCATTCTCTTGATTCATTTTGGCCCCATGATTCTGTCGATCCTTACTCCCTTACGGAACCTAGCTTTTTTGCTGGACCCTCATCTAACAATGCTCCTTTTAATTTTGACTTGATGTATGATGAGTTTGAAGACGATGACGATGATGACGACGACGATGTATTTGAAGAGTCGTTGTTTTCATCTTCGGAGGAGGATGATGACGACGATGATGACTTGTACGACGAGACAAAGCATGGCGGAAATGCCGAGTTTATGGCTGCAGGCCAGCCACCCATGTCTAGTGGCTTTGTCCACACTAGTGAAGGTACTGATGGTGCAATTTCAGGAAATGGGTTTTCGGAGTTGACTCATTTTACCCCAACAAGAACAACACCAGCATCATCAATAAGCACTAAAAATCCTACTAGACCTTCAACAATAATAACAAATCCCTTGCATCCTTCTTTGACGCTATCTAACCACGACAATAACGGTATGATGTTGTCAGCTGAGGTGGAGCCCCCTATCAACAACACCTACACCCAGCCCCAGTCTACTTTTACTACCACCACCCCTGAGTCGACTGGTACTGTCTTTTTGGGGGCTGCCTTTGAACCCACCACCCCTGTCACCCCTGCGGCTCGTAAGAAGAAGACAGTTTCTGCGGCCGACGATATTAGCATATCTCTTGCATCCAAGTCAAAGGAGGCAACCAACTATAGAAAGCATGTGCGCAGTGCTTCGCAACCAACAGCCATGATGATGAATTCTCCTTCATCCTCGCCTGTAGGTGGATTTAGTTCTCATGCACCCATGCTGGCTAATTATAATAGCCCACCATCATTTTCTGGAACACTTGAAGAATTTCCTCAGGTTTATGGTGCACGTGGCCGTCCCCCGGCCTTTAAGAGTGAGGAGCCATTGTCGTCGATGAGTTTTGGTTTGAACTTGTCTTCACCCCAAACTTCTCCTTCTTCACCTTTACACCAAACTGCTTCCTCCTTCTCCTCCTCCTCTTCCTCTTCTTCTTCTTCTTCTTCTTCTGGTTCTTCTGGTTCTTCTTCTAACTCATTGCGTGGTGGGAAACGCCGGGGTGCTGTGGCTAATAACGGACCACACCGGTGTGAGCTAACTACGAGCAATGGCCGGCCTTGCAACAAAGTGTTTTCGCGACCTTATGACTTGGTGCGACACCAGGATACTATTCATGCGGCAGTACGCAAGACTTATACATGTCCCATGTGTGGTCCCGGGTCGAAGACGTTTTCGCGAACCGACGCGTTGACGCGGCACATTCGTGTAAAGCATTCGACATCTGCGGAAGTTGCTGCTGCCACAGCCCATGCCATTGAGCCTGTTTCTGCCAAGTAATGGAAGAAGAAAGAAAGAAAGAAAGAAAGAAAGAAAGAGAAAAAAAGAAAAAAAAATTAAACATTTGTATACTAGTTTTTGTTTTATTATTATTATTATTAGTGTTATTATTATTATAGTTATTATCATTATTATTATCATATTGTTATCATTATTATTATTGTTTTTTTTTTTTTTGTAATTTTTTTACATACAAGGAATTAATTTATGATTACAAGGTGTGAACAAAAATCTATCTATTAAAAAAGGAAACATGAAGTTTTTTTTAAATCTTTTTTTTTCTTTCTTTCTTTTTCTTTTTTTTTTCTTGTTTCTTTTTTTTTTCTTTACTTCTCGTAGTAGTAGTAGTAGTAGCAATAATACCCACCAACTAAACCCATCCACCCATAAGGTCGACCCACTCACCCAAGCACGAGCCATCTTTCCCTTCAACTTCAACCACATCTGTATCACATCTACATCTGCAGCCAACACCATTAGTAACCTCCGGATCCGCATTAGCCCAATAATCATCGTCTTCTATTTCCCTTCTGTCTGTAGGGTCACGAATATAAGGCTTATGAGGAAGTTGTCTTTCCGGAGCATTGGCCGGACAATGTTGAATAGTAGTGTGGCGGTATCCAATGTCACGGAAGTAGTGTACTTGACTAGGACTTAAAAATAACCCAGCAGCAAGTGAATGTACAGGAGCATCGCCCCATCGCTCTGTCCAAAACCCACCAGACTTATCCAGTGTTTCAAAGTACGCTTGATATTCCTTGGACCGGAAAAAATCAAGACGTGCAATCTCAAAGTTTGACCAAAAATGACACATGTTGTATGTCTCTCCATTGATGCTATACGGCGGTACAGTATGCGCAAAATAGTCATAGTTGCCCACATCCAGCCGCTGTGTATTGTCATCTTCATGCAACAGTTCTTGGCCGGCTCGCAGCACATTATGTGCAGCAGGGTCACCCAAGAGTGCTTCATCTGGGAGTGAATCTTGCAAATCTTGGAGTCGTTTTTTATCCTTTTTAAGTTGCTCCAATCTTTCACGTTCTTTATTTTTCTGTACAGTTCCAGAGTTCCCAAGTGCTTCGTCAATCGTATCTGGACCATGTTTTTTCAAAAATAATTCCCACATGCCCTTGGAAGTGACATTGTGTTGTTTCTTAAACCCATATGTATGACGAAACAAGTTTGGCACAGTTTCAACTAGTTCCTTAATAACAATCGTAAACCCATAAACCTTCTTATGCTTTTCCATATACTTGAACGGGTCGTAGGTAATATCGCAAAAATACTTGACATCAGGCTCAACACGCCAGTACCATTCATAGTCTGCCAAGAGTGGGTGGTTGAAAAAGGCCCCCGAGTAGAACCGACACATGCGGTGGTACGACGCCATACCGCCGTACATGATTGCGCGATCACCTTGCTGTTGGATAGCCTCCTTGACGTCTTCTTCAGGTGCCCATCCAGGGAAGTTCCAAACGTCCTTATCAATCACACCAAACTTTACTTCCGAGTCGGTCACGTTTTTGACAGCTTCCATAAAAGTTGAGTTAAAGGGTTCATCGTTCAAAAATACATATGGGTAGTGGAACCAGCGATTAAAGTGACGCTCAAGTGAACGCATCGAGTCTATGACACCTGGGTACTCCTTGTTACGGGCAAGAACAACCAGTACCGCATTTGCACGGGGCTCATTAACTTCGGGTTCCATGCATCCAAGAACAAAGGGGGCGTCGATTTTCCCATTGATTTCACGAATGGCTGGGGGTCGGAGCCCGCCGACGCTAACGGCAGCTGGGAGAACGGCGGCGGCGCTGCCAAAGATGGCGGTGAGGAGGCCAAGGAGAGAGAAAAAGGAGAGCAGTAGAACAGCAAGAGCCACAAGCCAGAGAGGGACTGTGATGTTTGTTTTAATCATAAAGCGTGCGCGTGCCAGGTAAGAAGCGGTGCGGGCGGTTGAGCGAGCAGCAGCATGAAGACGTGAACGGACGAGGGCAGGTGAAGTTGCGAGGGTTAATGTATTTTGTGCCAAGGTACGAGCTTTGATTATGGAAGTTCCGATAAAGGCAGCGATGGCTCTTGGTATAGTTGATGATGGTGATGAAGATGATAATAATGAAGAAGAAGATGTTGCATTAGAGGGGATTGAAGTAGCAAAAGTGTTTGAAAGATGGTGGTCATTCACAGGAGGAAGAGAATAAGTTGCAAAGGCAGCAGCAGCCTTTTCAGATAGAAAGGGGGAGTCATAGGGAGATTGTTGATTCATCAAGGTTTTGTTTGAGGGAATACCATCACCAGCACCAGGGACATGTTTTGCATTTTTGTTTGAGCGTACAGAGGCTGAGGCAGGAGATTTCTTAGAGACCTTTTTATTGATTGGAGGTGAGGAGGCCACTGTTCCTGAGGATGCCGAGGAAGTAGAGATATTGTCATCATAGTCCTCATAATCTGGGTAATAATCTTCATCTGTAGAGTTTGCTAAAGTTGTTGATGTTGTGTTTGATAAGTTTGCTGACATTGCTGGTGGTGCAAGTACTTGACCATTAGAATTATTTGGGTGGAGTGGTGAAGAAAGGGATGTGTTGTTGTTGTTGTTATTGTTATTGTTTATAGCCTGAGATGATAATGATGAGTGATGATGAGAGTTATGATGGAGAGACTCAGAGCCACGATAAAACTCAGCAGAAGAAGCAGGAGTTGATCTAAGGGATGAATCTTGCAGCAGCAGAAGACCTGTAGATGGTATTAGGTTTGAAGACCCGAGAGATGTTTGGTCATTATGGGATATTAGATCATGATCATCATGGCTGTGATGGTGGTTATGATTATGGTTATGGTGGTCATTATAGTTATGATTATGGTTGTGATTATGGTTATGATTATGAGATGCTGGAAGAAGTGGGCCAGCAGAGTCTGCGGGAGGGATGATCCGAGACGCTAAAAATTTGGGGAGTTTCATGGACAAGAATGAAGAACAAGTGAAGAGAGGGGGGGGATTATTATTTATTTATTTGTAAAAAAAAAAAAAGAAGAAGAAGAAGAGGAAGCAATAGAGAATAAGCAAGGACAAAGAAAAAAAAATAAATAAAAAATAAGTGAAAAATAAGTGAAAAATTAATATATAGATGGAGGGGGGGTGGATGGAATTTAAGGTGAAGATTAGGGCTTTTAAGGGTGGAAGATCTTTTTTTGGTTGGTTTGTTTGTTGGTTGGATGGATGGAGGGATGGTAGGATGGTTGGGAATGGAGGTTTTTTTTTTAAAAAATAAAATAAAAATTAAAAAAAAATTAAAAAAACAACAACAAAAAAACCGTTTGTGAAGAAGTTTTTTTTTTTTTTTTTTTTTACTTGATAGCCTAAAATAACTATAACAATAAAAATAACTATAAAAATAAAAATAAAAATAAAAATAAAAATAAAAAAAGTTTTTTTTCTTAATGCTTCAAAGTCTTTTTTTTATTTATTTATTTATATATAAAAAATATTAAAAAAATTTAAGATTCTCAGCTTTAGACAAAAAGTTTATCAGTCAGTTAGTGCTAAAAAAAAAAAAAAAAAAAATTTCCAAAAAGAGAATTTTTTTTTTATATATATTAATTTAATTATTAATTACTAATTACTAATTTTTATTATTAATTTAATTATATTAATTTTTTATTTTCGTGAATGGCAACAAGTAAAGGGTGAAACCAACTTGCTCGACTGGCTTACCTGGCAATTTCAGCTCAAAAGGACGACAACAACAACAACAATAATAATAATAATAATAATAATAATAATAATAATAATAATAATAATAATAATAACGGCGGCAGTAGCAGCCAGCAGCAGCAACACAAAGAGATGGAAAAGCCACACAGGAGACCCCTCACAAAAAGGGAAAAAAAAATTACGTAATATTTTAAGCAACAATATTTGCACGTGATGCTTGTAACACACCTGTAACCTATTACCCACTATCATTACTATCATTACTATCATTATTATTATTTATTATTTATTATTATTATTATTAACACTCATAACAATCGCTGACTAATTATTTTCAATCTCCTAACCCTCAACTCACCCCTAACTCACCCCTAACCCTCTATAACCCGGCCCGTTTCCGCTTAAGCATTGTCACCGCCGCTCGCAACTGTGCAAGATCGTCCAGAGCATCCTCAGGCTTCAACGTCGCCGGCGGTTGATACGACTTTGACGATCGGCCCCCTCCACTTCCAGGATGTCCGTACCCGGTCCCATGACCTCTACCTCCAACACTATTATTTCCATTAACATTACCATTACCACCACCACCACCTCCACCACCTCCTCCAACCCCACTCACTCCACCGTTATCACCAACTCCACTCACCCCGCCAGCCCCACCAGACCCGTACCCACGATCGGTCCCGGCCCCGCCTCCACGGTCAGTTCCTGTTCCGCCATTACCACCACCTCCACCACTCATATTTCCATCCCGATCCCTCGAAAATAAAAACCCATCTAACGCATCTCGATCACTAAACCCAAGATCATCTCCACTCACTCCACCACTCCGTGTTGCAGCTCCACCTTTGCGACGTTTGCTCGAACCCCCGCCAGCACTGGAATACCCCGTCCGCTCTCCCCCACTGGCATTACCACCACCTCCTCCTCCTCCTCCACTAAACCCACTCATCTCTTCAAATGCAGAAGCATTCACATGCTCACGCCTCCGTAGACTTCGGCGCTCTCCTGGGAATCCAAAAGGCATCGGTGAGTTGGGTCCACCACCACCACCGTTTCCTCCTCCTCCTCCTCCTCCTCCAGCTGTACTCGTGTCTCCATTTCTTCCTCCTCCTCCTCCTCCACTGCCATACCCAGAAAGTCTTCCATTTCCAGGTGCTTCACTATTTGACCCATACCCGTGTTGTGTCGTTCCTCCTCCACTGGTATACCCTTGTTCACGCGCATAAAGTGAAGATCCATTTCCACCTGCATATGCCATGGCAGCAGCTGCTGCCGCACTACCTCCTCCACTTCCATTGTTGAATGCTAAAAACATGTTGTTTTCATTCGTAATGTCCAAATATGCCTTTTCCTCCCGTAATCTCTTGCGCTGGTTTTCCAGGCGCGCCATCAGTCGGGCCTTGACCATCTGAGTCATCCGGTTGTACTCCTCATTTGCCAAAGCAATTTCTCGTTGGTACTCGGCCTCTGTTTGTTCAATCTGGTATGATTCCCATAAGCTAAGCCGCATCAGCTCTTGGTCCCTCAGCTCCTCTATATCTGTCAGTTGTTCAAGAAACTCGCCATTCTTCCCAGAGTGTAGCGAAGATAGTGTACTTTGAAGCGCGTGAAGCATTTCCCGGTACTGTAAATCCCGGTCCTGCTCAAAAACCTTGGATATTTGAATAATACGCGAAGCTATAGATTGGCGTCTCTTGTCACGTTTGGCTGAAGATGGTTGGGTTGTAGTTGTGGATGTTGTTAATGAAGAACTATTGATACCTTGAGGTTGACCCTGAGGGCCTCCTCCATTGGTAGTGGTAGTTCCATTAGCAGTGGCTGTTCCGTTTGCAGAAGCCATTCTGTTGTGAAATATGGTAATGGATGGAGAGGGTAGACAAGGTAAAAAAAAAAAAAAAAAGGAAGGAAAAAAAAAAAAAATTGGAGGGAATTTGTGTGTTTATGAAGAAAAAGAAAAAAAAAAAATTAAAAGCCTTTTTTTGATGGAGATTTAGAAAATAATATACACAACCTAAATAAGAACCATAATTTAAAATTAAAATCCACGTGACTTTACCTTAATCCGAACAACCCTTACCCTTAAGATGAGATTTATCTACTTTTTTTTTTTTTTTTTTTTTTTTTTTTCAACAACAACAATTCCCCCCCTTTTTTTCTTCTTTTATATCTCAAGCAAACAACCTAAAAAAACTCAAAATCGATCGAATTCTTAGATTCATCGATTGCGCATTTCTCTCTTTAGCGACATAACTAAAGCTAAACTTGTTTTGTTGCATAAACGAAGAGGTTTTTATCCATCGGTTATTTATATGATTATTTAAAATTTTTTTTTCTTTTTTTTCTTTTTTTTCTAACAACATTTTCCATCAAGAGTTTGATTGAATGTGATCATTTTAACATCTAAGACCCTCTTTTTTTTTTTTTTTTTTTTGGTGATAACTCGCCGCTGTGGCTTTTAACAAAAAAAAAAAAATACTACCTGAATTTGTTTCTGTGGCTGGTGTTTGTGCACGGCAGCATCAAATTAGGGGGAGGGTAGCCATTTATTTATATGGTAACACATATATAAGTAGATTATAATCTTGATGGGGGGCCAGTCATCTGGATAAGTTTTGTGAGTTTGTAGAGCGAAATATTTGTAAATATGGTGTGGAAAAGTTTTATATCTAAAGATCCATTTTGAGATATATATATATGTTTGTATATATATCAAAGAGCCGATGTGGATTTGTGTCTACTAGGAATTCCATTTCCTTCCCACTTAAAAAAAAAAAAAAAAAGACGAAATTCCACAACCAAAGTCCGTGATTAAGTGGAACCCTTAAAAACTTTTATTTTCATTTATGTATTTATTTTAATTTTAATTTTAATTTATTTTCATACTTATATATATATATATAAATTTCCTTGGCTTTTTTTTTTTTTTTTTTTTATTTTATTCTACAATTTGGGCTCATCTGTCATGACGCAATTTCCAGAAGCAGTCCCGTGAAAAAAATATAGATTTCAAAGTTTATATAGATATAGATATATACAGTGTATTTTATATATTTGTATGTATATATACAATTACACAATAGGATAGTATATACACAATAGCATTTTAAATTTATATATCTAACTATAGATATCAATAAGACTTTAATTTTTATTTTTTGAATGCTAGTAGATTCCGACAACCAACAAGGAAATGAAAAGCCACAGAGATTGTCTTTTTTTTTATTTTAAAAAAAAAGAAAGCTTGCGCCACAAGCCACAATCTGAGATTTCTTAGAAAATTATATATATACGACAAAAAAAAAAGGAATCTGGTTGGTTGGTTGACTGGCTTTTTTTTTTTTTTTTGATTGTTTCCACTGTGATGAGCCCATTTTAAGGTCCGGTCTTTTATTTTAAATTTTTTTATTTTTGTTATTACCAAAACTAAAAAATTGTGGCTTGCCTATGTCTATGTAATCAGTCAAAGTCTTTTTTTTTTTTTTTTTTTTTGCTATATACTTCAATCGAGATAGTATATAATAATAATATAATATCCACTCCATCCACAATATACCCAACATAGGACCCATTCGTCGTGACCGCCACAAAAGGTAACCAAATTGGAAATTTTATAAATAAATCTTCCGAGACTTTTTTTTTTTTTAAATAAAATGATATATAAATGGTGGGGAAAATCCTCTTTTTTTTATTTATTTATTTTTATATAATTTTTTTTTTTTTTCATTTAAGTACGATTGTTGGGTTGTTAGACCAAATTATTATTATTTAAAAATAATAATAATAATAATAATAATATCAAAAATAAAAAAAAAAAAATCTCCATCGTATTCTCTTCTATTATCATCTCTCATCTACCCACCTACCCCTCCCTCCTCATCACCAGACCTTTAACCATTTACAAATATACATCATACATAAATAAATGACTATCGCTATCGACTTCCAAACTGTCATCTCTTCGGCTATCGCAGCCGCTGAGTCCTCAGTTTCAGTCATTTTAGTTCTCTTCTATGGCTACATCTCAAATAAAACTGGTCTTCTCACAAATAATGGCGAACGTGTAAGTATATAATCATCATCTTATCTATAAAAACCTTAATTCATATAAACAATAATATCTAACCTCATTAATCCTTTAAAGGCCATTTCAAAACTTTGTGTCAACCTCTTTTTACCATGTCTTCTTCTCACAACAATGGGATCACACATCTCCCTCGAAACCCTCATCAGCTGCTGGCCTCTTGTCGCCCTCCCCATCATCATGATGTGTGCTACCTATACTATTGGTCTCGTCATTGTACGACTCTTCAATCAACCCGTCTACATTCTCCCTGGAATGGTTTTCAATAACGTCACCTCCCTGCCACTTTTACTACTTGCTGCCATCTCTCAGTCAAAAGTCCTTAACCCTCTGCTTCACCAAGATGAGACTGTATCCCAAGCTATTGTCCGTGCAAAGGCTTTTGTCCTTCTCCACTCAATCATCCATAACCTTGGAAGATTTGCTTTAGGCCCAGTCATGCTCCGCTCAACAACTTCCCAAACAATCTCACAAAATTCGGCCTTGGTTGGCGACGAGCGTGGAATCGCAAAGCCCGCACTCTCGGAACGAACGTCCCTCTTTTCTGCAAAATATGCTGGTGACGACAGTTCCGCTGCAACCCAAGCAAACTATGGATCCTCATCAGGATCATCAGAAGAATCAGGATCGTCACCTGCTACCGTTGTTGCTTCGGACCAACCAACCGCTTCCGAAGAAGATGAATACTTTTATAAACGAGCAAGACAACTTTCCCGCAAATCGATTGATTTCGATGAAACCCGTACCCTTCTAAGTAGATATCTCCCGGAAAACGACTCAACTGTTCAGCCTTCCTCTTCACGCAGACCTTCCCGCCCAGCCTCTTCCACTACAACCCCAGTTCTTTCTGCCATTCCTGTGGAAGAGCAACAACAGCAAGAGCAAGAGCAAGAGCAAGAGCAAGAGCAAGAGCAACAACAATCCCAGTCTACTGTTACCTTTTCGGAACCAGTGGCTCCAGAAGACCCCACTTACGATGCCTCGTCTTACTCATCTTCAGAAGAAGAGGAATCTCGCAGCTTTTATAGCATCTTGCCACAATCTGTCATCGATATACTGGAAAGTCTTAAGCCTGGAAAGGATACTCGCACTTACCGAGCATGGAAGTTTATTTCTCAGTTCCTTAACTCGGCTGTTGTTGCTGCTATTGCTGCCATCATTATTGGTGTGACCAAGTCTTTACACTGGTTTTTTTTCCAATATTCTGTCATTTCCACTTCCTTTACACCTTCCGTCACAAACATTGGTGAGCTTTACCCGGCTCTCCAGCTTTTCGCTTTAGGATCTAAACTTACCACTACCCCGGAAATCCCTCCACGCAAGTCTACTATTTTCTGGATCTCTCTTGTGCGATTTGCAGTTGCCCCGATTCTTTCAATTGCAATTGTTGTTTCAATGATTCGCTTTACTTCTGCTGAGTTTTGGCCAAGAGACCGTATGCTCAACTTTATTCTCATGATTGTGCCTGTGGGCCCTCCTGCCATTACACTTGCAGCTGTTGCTGAAATTGCAGGTGTCTCGCGTCAGGAAGTCTCGGCTATCTCGCGCATGCTGTTGTACATGTACGTAGTGACACCGCTGGTTGCTCCAACCGTAGCCATTGCTCTGTCTATTGCATATACCATTTGAGGGATGGTTAAACAACTCTTTTCAAAAAGAATATTATCTTCATCTTTATTTTTAAATAATTTTTTTATTGTACTTTTAGATTTAATTGACTTTTCCTTAAAATATATTTATTAAGTCATTTGTTAAAAAAAAAAAAAAAGGGTCCATTTATGGGTCCTTTCAAGCTTAATTGAAGAGAAACTTTAAAAGAAAAAAAAGAAAAAAAAATGATTTTTCATGATAACCTATTGATAAACTCAGTCTTAAAAATTTATTTTTTTTTTCGTTTTTCGTTTTTCGTTTTTCGTTTTTTATTTTTTTTCAAAAAATAGTCCATTCATGAAACAAATAAAAAAAAAAATATTTTTAAAGTATCGCACACACAAGTTCATATATATATATATATATGACACAAAACTAATAAGCTTAATAGCCTTTCCGATCAATTAGCTTTTTTGCTTTTTTGCTTTTTTGCTTTCTTGCATGACTTGGGTCTTGGACGCATGATAGAAGAGCTTAATATATAGCGGGAACATGTTCTTCGGTCGCATGAATTGGCTCGCCTGTAAGTTCTAGCGCATGTTTGTCGTTAAACAAGAAACCTGGCAACTACGGGGGGGGGCTTTTTTTTTTTTTTTTTGGGACTTAAAAGGTTTAAGAGAATTATGAAATATTAAACAATTCTAATTAACCAGCTCACCGTTAGAAGTATGTCTTCTTCTTCTTCTATCTATAGTTAGTTGTAAAAAAAAATAAAAACAATAAAAGTCCATATATATATATATATGCATATACATATATGTAAATTCTGAATCTTAGATTTTTTTTTTAAAAGTCCAATACTAAAGACTATTTTAATTTTTTTAATTTTTTTAATTTTTTAATTTTTTTATTTTTCATATTTTTTATTTTATTTTATTTTTCATCTTTTTTATTAACTAAATCCCCAGCCTCCACGTCTCTATTCCGGTTTCTCAGACTCTTTTGTTCTTAATTATTAAACGCTAGGAGTGCCTTGATAAGCGAACTTACAGATTTTTTTTTTTTTTCTACCACCGTAACTACATTGATTCTTTGCTGCTACTCTATTTAAGTAGTAGTAGTAGTAGTAATGATGATAATAATAATAATATTTATTATTATTATTATTATTATTATATTTGTTAGATAAAAAGGTTCGTTTCATCATAAAGTCCTTTATTCTCATAACCTATTCGCTTTAGAAAAAAAAAACCAATTTTATATCCTCTTTGGGATATATGCGTGCGGCGTTCAGGCACACTGTTAAAAGAAAAATAATTTTTTTTTTATTTTTTTTTTTGTTTCTACACGTGTGGGAAAATCTTAAAATAAATGCGTTTTTAGGTAATTTGCGGCTCAAAACATGTTTGATTTGTTTGAAAAAAAAGAAAAAAAGAAAAAAAAAGTCAAGACTTTAAGGCACCAGGAACAAAACAAGTTGATTTTAATTTCAATACATCAAAAATTTCCCAAAATTTCAATGTAAATCTCCATCTAACTAATCAATTTTGTCTTTAAAAAAATAAATAAAAAAAAAAAGCTCAGTATATTTTAACAAAAAATAAACCTATTATTATTATTTATATTATATATAATAATAATACTCTTGTGTTACTTTGCAACTTTTTCCTCATACAAAACAAAGACTCTCTCAAACATGGTTCTTTGTTAAAATTGTTGGACGTGAGAAAAAAAAATGCCACCCATCTCAATGTATTCTTTTTTTTTTTTTTTTTTTAATCTTTCAAACACACAAAGAGATGAATAACGGGGGAAAAAGTCGTTGAAAGAGTTTTTAAATAATAATTTTATTATTTATTTTATTTTTGCATAGAGGAAGAAAACCACTTATTTCTCAAACAACAAGAAAGACTTTTTTTTTTTTTTAAATAAAGAGATTTCAAAAAATAAAGAAATAAAGAAAGAAAGGCCCATAATGTTTCCAATTTTAAGTAGCTTTTTGTCAAGTGAATCAAAAAGAAATAAAAAAGAAACAGAATCCTCTCTTTAAATATTAAAAACTTTCTTCTCTCTCCCCCCCTTTTTTTTTTTTTTTTTTTTGCTTTCGGTAACTCTGAAATTATATATTCAAATAAATTCCCACCTTCTCTAAGACATTTTGTCAACACTTTGATACACTCTTGTCGCGCCGGCGCTACACATCTAACAATTTTTTTTTCTCAAAATTAAAATTAAAATTATAATAAACTTATTATACAAAAAATAGACACACTCACATTCAATTTTTTCTCAATACCTAATTCTAATTCTAATTCTAATTCTAATTCTAATTCTAATTCTAATTCCAATAATAATAATAATGTCTGCCTCCGACATCAAATCTCGGCCTCTAGTTCCTGTCCGGCCCCGTCCTCCTACTTTCATCAAAACTTCTACTCATTCTCACAAGTCCCGGCCATCACTCTCAGAACTTTTCTCCTCGACCTTGTCTTCTCAAAAACGACCTGCTTCTAAATTACCTCCAACCCCACCTCCATCACGCTCTTATTCCTCCACTCTTCCTCTTTCTCTATCATCCTCCAAACCATTTACAGGCCCATCGTTTGTGACAGCCGAATGTTCCAATAACACAAAGTCTCAAAAACTTTTAATAAGCGCTTTGGGAAATTCTAAACCCTCCAATTCTTCCTCTTCTCCTAAATCTTCATCTTTACCAACTATCCCATCAAAAGCTCCCAGTAGAATATCCTCAGAAACTGCACGGAAACTTAATATTCTCACACCCTCCCAGATTCAAATGCTACTGTTATCAACCGGCTCTGATCTTTCTCTTTCAAACTCCAGCTCTTCTCAGCCACAAGAAAAAACAGATAATAACGATATCTCTTCAGCTCCTTCAAGTATGCCACTTCAGTGCAATCCTCCAGCTCCTAAGCTGCTTAGGGACCAATTTGGCCGCTACTTTTATTATTTCCCCAATATCAAAGTTTCTCACGATAACGAACCTTCTACTACTCAGGAAACTTCTTCGTCTTCTTCTTCTTTGGACCAGTCTCACTCTCAAAAGTCTAACTCTAATTCAGACCTTTTGCTTCCTGATGCTTTTGATTCCACCGCTGCGTCTTCAGTTTACTCTTCAACAACAAAATCCTCTTCTACATCCTCACTCTCCACATCAGCAGCTCGGAAAAAGGCCCACCGCCGCGTATCAGTACTTTCCCAAACTTCGGAAAAAAGATACAGCACAACTAGTATCAAAAGCAGCAGCAAAACTGTCAGCGTCTCCAAAACCCAAAATGCAACAAAACGAAGAAGTATCATCTACACACATACCTACACTGAACAGGTCGAAGAAAGTGTTTTGAATGAGGAAAATGCCGATGCCCATCTCGATGAATATAGCGACGATGAAATTGACAAGCATGAAAACAATAACCAACATAACGTGACAGAGTACCTGCGTTCTATTAAGCCTCCGCATGAACTTATGCGCAGCAAGTCTGCCTCGATCTCTGCTGGAGGTTCTCTGCAGAAGCAACCCCCTACTAAACCTTTTTTGCCATCTGCGTCTGCCACTTTTTCTCCTGAAAACCCATTTGAAAGCAGACCTTCTTCTCAAGCTTCTACTACTTCTTCTACTACTACTTCTTCTTCTTCTTCTTCTTCTTCTTTCTCTTCTTCCTCTAAAAATAATTTGTTGCTTCAACGCCCATCGTCTCCTGTTTCTTCTTCTTCTTCCTCTTCTTCGTTTCCAGTCATTGCGAAAAGTCTTATTCCACCGCCGCCCCCGTTGCCGCCCCACCGCGCTGCCCATCGTCAAGGTTTCGCACAACAAATGTCTGAATCAAGTGTCGCCCAAATTAACACCCGCAGAAGCTTATCTGCAAACAATTCTTCTTCTTCTTCTTTCATCTCCACCTCTTCTTCCTCTTCCTCCTCATCCTCCTCTCAAATCCCAGTCTCCAGACCTTACTACAGACCCTCCTCTCGTGGCTCACGTGCATCTGTCTCTTCTACAGAATCTAGGAAACGTCATAGAGCAATCCGCTATAGCATGCTCAATAAAGACCTTCCACCTCTCCCCCCAGAGGCATACCTTGACGAACAGTTTAAGCAGGATGCTACTGCTGCTTCTGCTGCTTTAAATGGTGGCTCCAATGGTCTTCCCCCACGCTCTCATTCGGCTGCCGGTAATTTTTGTGGTTCATCATCTTCTTTCTCAGGGTTCTTCCCCCCCACCGGTCCCGTGCATGCAGGGTCCAATGTCTCAGCAGACTTTGCACCAGCTGGAACTTCTGCAGTTCCACCATTCATCCCACAGCGAGCTCCTAGTCGTCGCATGCAACAACAACGACCATACTCATCACGCTTATACTCAACGGCCAGTATTGAAGAGAGCGAGGAAGAGGCCCTCTATGCTGAAACTAATCAAAAGTATGTTCACCCAACAGGGTATAAAAGCAAACAAACACAACTTTATCGCCGAGAAAGTTTGCTGCGTCGTCATCAAGGTTTGTACTTTAACTCTCTTTTTTTTTTTTATTTTTATTTTTAATTATTTCATGACTCTAACTTAAAATTCCCATTTTGGTAATTTTCTCTATTCAATTATTATAGATGATACATTCAGGTCAAACAAACAAGTTATGAATTCAAAAAGCTTGCGCGGCCAGACGATGTCGTTGTCTTCTTCTTCCTCTTCTTCCTCTTTGGCTTATAATACCCAGACATACAGTTTATCGCGCAGCAGTCTGCTTTCAGAAGAGGCATTACCGTCAAATCACTCGATTCAAAACCTGCAGCCGACGGACATTGCAGCTCGTCGTTTGGGTGCCAGATCCGCAACTAATGGCGTCAACCGGAGCAGTAGCATTCGAAGCCGCAGAAGCATTGTTTCTGGCCGTAGCAGTACTGGCAGTGGTATTAATGGAAGCGGTGTTTACGCGCAGGTTTCACAAGAAGGTCTCGTTAAGAACTATAATCGCTCGTTAAGATCAGATTCTTTGGACTCTAATTCTTCATATAAAGCTGGCCTCTCGCCCTCCACTGCATTTTTTACTCCAAGTTCGTCTTTCTCTGCTCTCCCTAACTCTAACCGTCACTTGTCTAACCAGACTTTGACTTCTTTGGATTCCAATTATTATTCTGTTGATTATCACGACTCTTTTTCTTCCTTTCAAAACCATAACCATAACCATTCACAAGCTTCTGTTTCTTCCACTGTTTCTTCTTTACCTTCTCCAAACAAGCTTACAAGTTCCACTGGTACTTACCATTATCCATCTGCAACCTCTGACTACCGTCCTTCTCGTCGGGCTCCAGCTCCTCCAAAAAAGTCCATTGCACCTGCTGTCACCCCTGAAACACCTACTGCACTAGTTACCACACCAACCACCACCACTAGTCAACTAGACCAAAAGGCTAAGCCTTCCAACCCATTCTCACCTGAACGAGAACCCCCTGAATCCGATATTGAGGAAGCTGCAGACACGGTTGAACGCCTTTCACCTGTGACCAATTCCATCAACAAAAAGCGGAGTCTTCTTTATAACAACTCTACAAACATTTCTAGCCAGTTTCACTTCCAGGCGACTCAGTCTGAACAGTCCGAAATGTTTTTTCACAACTTGCTGCCCAAGTCTTTGAGAAGCAGCTCTAATGCTTCCAAGTCTGTGTATGCCCAAAATACAACAACAACTAATGGCAACACCACCACCCACCGCCTTTTTAAGTCTTCGGCTGCTGAATACCAACAAGAGATTTCTTTGGGTCTCAATCTCAGCCAGGCTCCCAACACACCACCCAAGAAGAACCGCATCGAGGTGCTCGAGGAGACCCCACGGGTCGAGTCTCCTACTTCTTCTCCGTCTAGCTCACCTGCTGGGCTTGGTGTATTTGTGGGTGCGTCGTCGTCGCCATCTGGATCCACAAGTTCGTCACCTGCGTATGCTGCGGCTACCGCAGCTGCAGCCGCATCGTCAACTTCGTCGTCACCCGTTTCTGTACCCGAAACCCCATCGACAAGTGCTTCAACCGTGACACCTAAGTCGTCTCGTTTTTCGCAAAACTTTTCTATTCGCCGGAGGTTGAGCGGCCATGACTCGATGGAAGCTGGTGGACATCGCAGTAATGAAGTTCTGGCCATGTTTAATGGGCTTTTGGGTCACAAGCAGCAGCAGCAACAGCAACAGCCGCACAGCCATTCCACAGGTGGTGGTATTGCTTTTGTGGATGCAGATGAGATGCCTTCTGCATCCACAAAAGCAACATTTGTTCCCACTACCACCAACATTGTGTCTTTTCCTTCTTCTTCTTCTCAGAATGACAAGCAAGTATCTCAAGATGCCGTTGTCAAAGATAAGGTTTTGCAAGCGCCTCCTGCTACTTTTGAAGGTGAGACAGTGGGATTAAACAAAAGAGAAACACCTAGAAAAGGCAAAGTTACCAGAGTCAGCAAGTCTCTGGCTGACAAGAGCTTAGATCTAAACTCAAACTTTGATACTTTATCTCAGGGCCCCTTGGTTCGTCGCCAACAACAGCAGATTTCCCAAGGCCGTCATCATCAACAACCTGTCAAGGAAGTTCGTTTCTCGACTTGCGAAGACGTTGTTATTTCTAGTAACATGGGTTACAACAATGATCATGATGAATCTTGCAGAAACTTGTTGAAGCCAATGGTCAACCGTCATCACTCGTTCCCAAGCACCAGCAGCAGCCATTATAGCGACAATGAAGAAAAAGAAGAAGAAGAAGATGATGAACCCATTGTCTTGAACAGTGTTCACCGTGCCCCTTTGGGCCCCTCTTCTCTGGTCCCATTGGCGGCTACCTCCTCTTCTCCTGTCTTCTCCAAGACTCCCTCTCCGGCATCTTCATCTTCATCTTCTTCATCTTCCCATACCACTCCTCCTAGCTCTGTTTCTTCTGCTGGTTCTCCCACTTCAGAGCTCGTTCAAACAACAAAGGCCCTAACACTTTCTTCAATCGAGTCTCCGTCCCCTGTTATTGTCCCTCCTCCACGCCGCCGCAGACGCGATATTGCTACCACTACTTGGGCCTGTGACTACCTTGTGTCTTCTTCTATGTCTTCTTCTCGAAGCTCTGCATCTTCTGCTACAATCACAGCATCTTCTTCTGCAGACAAATTTTTAAGCCAAGAATTTCAGTCTACTGAATCATCTAGCTCTACCGTCATGGCTGGCGCTCCAGTGATTCCTCCCAGAAGTGCTAACCGCGCACTCCATGAGAACCGCGTTAAGAGTGTAGTTTGCCAGAGCCGTTCTTCCCAGTCTTCAATGACGCTGGCGTCCAGGAGACCCCAAGCAATGTCCTTGTCTGCTTCCAATCCACTTCCTACCAAGATTGGTAACAACTACCTTGATAAACTTGATCAAATTTACTCCAACATGCCTGAGCCTCTTTTCCCTCCACCTTCTACAGGTGCTAGTGTTGGGACTTCTGTTTCTCCTTTACACATCATTAAGAAGCACAAGTCGTGCACAGCTCTTGGATTCCGTGAGAAAACCGGTTCCATGCAGCAGCAGAAGCAGCAGGTTCCACCCGTTCCTTATATTTCACGGGCCACTATTGAGGAACTTGAGAGCTGTGCTCCTGTTTCTTCTTCTTCTTCTTCAATGCCCAGAATTCCTCCTCGTTCTCGCAGTTACGTTCCACCACCTACTTCGTATTCTTGTGATGAGACTACGGACAGCGACGATGGGCGCCAGTCTGCATGTGCCAGCTACGATGCGTCGTCTTCTTCTGATAAGGAAATGAAGAGCGACAGCCACTCTGCAGTTTCTTTGACGTTGACAAGCCCACCGTCATCTCCTCCCAAGAATTTCGAAAGCCAGCCTCGCCCTGCAGGTGTGGATGCTACAGCTTCTACAGCTTCTGCAGCTTCTACCACTGTAGCACCTCCATTAGTGGCTGCGGCTGAATCTGCGACTTCGTGCTACACACAGAGCAGTTTAAGCTCTTGCAACAGCATTACTGCCACGAGCGATCTGAGACCTTTGGGTGTCTACGGGGTAGACCGGAATGGGTATTTTGCGGATGTTGAAGAGGAGGGAGAGGAGGAGGAGAAAAAAGGCAAGCGTGAGTGGAATGGAGAAAATCAGTACGTGAAGAAGAAAAACGCGGCGCCGCTTGGAATTATTTACCCCGAACATTCTTTAGCCCACCACAAACATAACGGGTTTGAATTTTTGGCTGTTGGCTCTTCTTCTTCTTCTTCTGCTTTTGATTTTGCTTCTTCTTCTTCTTCTTCTTACTCTCCAAATCTCTCTGAACCAATTTCTCAAATGTACCCGACTTCCTACCAACAGCGCACAAGCAATGATACCCTGGCCTCGTCCAACCGGCTCTCCACTCGATCCATGGATGAGGTTGTCAAATCGTTCATCTCTGAAGACCTTGCGTGCCTTGACTCACTTGGAAACAATATTGAACCCCTGACCATTGATCAGTCATACTTCATCAAACTACAACAACAACAACAACAACAACAGCTCTATGATCAGGCAAAGGAGTCTGCTCCTACTACCCCTCAGACTCCCCAGACCCCTACTTTTTCATTTTTCCCATTCAAGTCGTCCTCAGCGTCTCAAACACCCAGATCGACAGCCAGCCGGCCTCCCTCGCAAGCTACTTGGAATTCAAATACACTTAGCCAAGCTGACAAGGAGCGACGATCCAGCACACCTCTTTCTTTTGTGTTTGGACGAAGAAAGTCGCGTGATAATCTTCGATCTCCTCAAATTGGTTCAGGTATGTTAACATAATTATTTTTTCACCCTGACTGAATTAAGGCTTTTGTTTACTAACTATAATAAATAGATAATCATAATCCTTCTGATACAGAAGAAATTAGCTTCAATGGCACTTACCATTCATCAGCAAGTGACAATGATACTACTTTGAATACAATTCCAAGCTCAGTTCTTCACACTACAAGATCTGAGCCAATGCAATTCTCCAAGTATCCAGAAGTTTTGGGGGCTCACATTCCAGGCACATCCCCTCTGATGGAAGCAACAGGATTCATTCGCCATGTTGACAGTGACGGGCTGGATGACAGTGATGACGAGGAAGTAGATGATGACATTACGCGCAACAACATTTCTTTGGATAAGGAATACATGCTGCGGACTCCTCCTAGCACCACGCCTCTCAAAACGTTTGCTCCAGAGCCGGTCTCTGCTAACACAATGGCCGGGTATAGCCCAGAGTCCCATTACTTGTCTTCACCAGGCTATCAGACTGAGTCGTCTTTGGATAATCAGCACTCGGTCAAGAAGCGCATGTCTGTGGCTTCACGGTTACGCATGTTTGGGCGGAAGAAGAGCACTGTTGGCTTAGTTTGATATCACCCCCTGGAATTTTTACTTTTTTTTTTTTTTTTTTTTTTACTTTTTACTTTTTGATATTGGGTCCTCAATTTTATTGCATCCCTTAGGATTTTTATTTTTATTTGTTTATCTTATATGGGCTTTTATGTACTTTTTCTTTTTCTTTTTCTTTTTTTGTATACCGATGATAATATATAGTTTTAATGAATGAATGAATGAATGAATGAATGAATGAATGAACATGAGAATAAGGCGGATGATCGACAATATTTGAGATTTTATTTTTTATTTCTTCCTTCATCAATTGATTGTTAAAAAAAAAAAAAGGTTTAGCTTGTATATAGAAAAGACCCACCGGCTGGCCCAGCAACGATAACTAGGAATGCAATTTTGTTCATTCATTCATAGAACAATGCATTGTGCCAGTAATTACGCTTAACAAGTCTACAAGATACGCCCAGAACCAAAGAAAGAAAATGATGATGGCACTTAACGAGAATCCATGATCATCTTTTGAAAAAAAAAAAAAAAAAAAAAAAAAAACATACAAAACCTGTTTTCAGAGTCCAGCAGATTTTCCACATATCATCAATCGTTTTGTGAATTCCATTTTCAACATATTTTCCACTTTGGAAAGTTAGAAAAAAAAAATCTTCGTTACTCCTTTTTCTTTTATTTTTAATTTTTTTTTTCTTCGTCAGTAACATTTCAAAGATGTGAAAAAGGAGGTGTTATTTAAAAAAAAAAGCCTTTACAAATGCCACTTTGAAATGATTGTTCAAGATATAATAGACAAACCTATTAAAACCGTTATTAATTAATTTTTTTTAGACTTAAATAAATAAATAAACAAACAAACAAATAAATAAACAAACAAATCAATAAATAAACTATTGTGTTTTATAAAACAGTTTGTTTGAAAGAGAAACATTTCTTAAACATGAGAGAGAGAGAAAAAAAATAGTTTGTCTGAGATATTTATTTTTTTTTCTTAAAAAAAAGACTTTAAGATGTAGAAAAAGTCTTTTTTACCTTATTAATTATTATTTAAAACATCGTGAAAAATAAAAAAGAAAAAAAAAGGATAAAGTTGTTTTTATTTGTATTTTTTTTTAGAATAACTTCTTTTAGGACTAAAGATGGAAAGTCATCATTATACATATCGTCTTATGAGACAAAATTATGTATTTTTTAAGGGTTTGTTTGAACAAACTTTTGGGATCTTTACTTCAAGAGTTCAATTAGATTCGATTTTTCAGAAAAGTAATTTTTTTATTATTTTATTTTTTTTTCTTTTTTACATCCGGTTAAATTCATAAAAATGTACCATAAAATGGCAGACTCCTTTAAAAGAAACATGGACGTATACCTGAAATTTGAAATAAACACTACTTTGAGGAAGCTATACACTTGTTTGGAGTGTTTTTGGCTCCATTGACGTCTCTGTCAACAAAGATTCCACACAAGTCGTAATAGTAGACACAATCACTCAGAGACAGCTAAGCTTTCACTGTCCAGCAATTGATGCATGTCTTGCAGGTTTACTCTTCAATCATCCTAGAGAGCCTTGCACATGTCAATTGGCTTTTAGACAAAAGACTCTGGGAAAACGAGTAGTGCGAAATTGACATCAAATTTCTGTTCATCTCTCTTATTTCTAATAAATAATTGTTGAAGTTGGAATAGCGGCAGTACTATGATTTTTGGTAGTTAGTAGTAAGAACTTTTGATGATTTGGAAATGATTGTCAGTCACTATATTGGCGATTTTTTCATTGTGTTTAGAACATTTTTTTTGGTCTTTCCAGCACACTGCATCGCTACAATCTTCTTATTCAACTTCATGATTCCCCTCTCTGCAAAGTGACACATGAAATACATTGCCATCTGATGAGTAACCGGTCAAGAAGTGTTTAGTTCCAAGGATTAAGAAACTATATTATACTTTTTTTCACCATTTTTCACCTCCTTCTGGCATTCTATTGGAATTAAGAAATGGAATTTCTCCGTGAGTCTATATAGTACAACTTGACGTTATGTTTTATTTCAATTAATAACATTTCTTCCCATTGTATTTTCCCTATTTTAAACTGAGTTTCATTTGTAATACAAGGAAATATCTTGCTGAGTTCATCACCTTTTTGGTATTCGCAAGCCCAATAGACTGACAGGATTATTTCATTTTGATCTGGAAACCATTTCTAAACTTCTCTATATTTCTTTTCTTCAAGTTTTTGAAAACACTCTTGAAGGTCTTGTGGGATTCCTTAAAACTTTAAAATCAAGGCATAAAACCTCCATTGAAGAAAAAACCCTTTGTGATAGAAAATTGTGCTAAGTTTTCATTATACTAATTTTTTTGTCAATAGTCCAGAAATATGTTTTGCTTCAAAGTCTTTTAAATCAATTAGCTAAAACTATCAATTATGAGTTTTAAATAATAGACTTCAAAAAAAAAAAAAAGAATATTCTTTTTTTTTCTTTTAAATTCCTCTCTTCGTCCACTTATTTTTTACTTATTTTTTAAACTTCAATATCAATCGGTGAAATAGGCAACTGATCAATCTACATGTTTTTCTTTCTAAAAAAAAAAGCAAATATCCACTTGCTTGAAAATCCTCAAATTAAGCTTAACCACTGGAACAAAAGTCTCAGATAAATCCAAATATTTTATTACCGATAAAAACTATGTTATGATACCTGCATAACTGGTATATGCTTAATTTATAGGCTTTGCTTCAAGATTCAATATCACCTTAATTGAAATGATGTCTATATCCGAATATCATCTGTTTAAGCCAAAATACCATCAACGACACAACCACCCCAACCGCCATCATATAGACATGCATATCTTGTCTTCGCTTCCCCCTTTTAGGTTTTTCCGGGTCCACCTTATACCCACGCAAATCTGTTGAAAGATACGAGGTTGGAAAGTTTGGTCTGAATGGTATTTCGTTTGTGTAATAGTTTTCGTCCATGTACCGTTGCGTTATGGGATACGGAACTTGTTCTTGGTCTTCAGGACCAACAGTAAAGATATGGTCCCAAAAATATCTGACATTATCACGGATTCTAATACCTGTAATTGAATGTGATCTAGACATTGTTATTTTTTTCTAATATCTTTTAATTCTAGTTTATGATTTAATTTTAATATGGAAGTTTAATAATATAAAAAAATGAAAAAAAGATTAATTATGGTGGCGATTAAATAATGAGTGAAAAAAATCCTTAATGTAAAAAAAGGACAATGTCAAAAAAAAAGAAAAAGAAAAAGAAAAAGAAAAAAAAAGGATTTAAAAATTGACAATTCAATTAATTTTTTTTATACTCCCCTCCCCCCCAACGACCCTCAAAAAACAACTTCCTTTGATACCCTCATTTACGACAAAGCATTTGACGTAACAACTGCCGGGCTTTTAAAACCATACCTGATTCATCGTGCGGCTTAACAAAATACCCGGGTATAGATGCTGGGCGTTTATGTACATGAATAGTTGTTTTTCGGCAACTAGCCGCACATGTTAAGACTGGTTATCATATCCGGAAGATTACACAAACCCCCCTCCAAGAAAGAAGCTGCCGGTTCATCAAAAGTTAGAGAACCAAAAAATACCATACAATACATGTTTGATATATTGGGTTGTTTGAACATTATCCTGCAATTTTTTTTTTCTATATAAACAAAAATAATAGACAATTCTTTTCTTCAACATAAACACCTATTGAAATTTAAAAAAAAATATTACCATCATGTCAAACGATCTTAGCTCCCGTCTTAGACCTGACAACTTTAACTTCCAAAGATACTACGATTACAGAGATGTCAAGTCAAGAAAACGTACAGGGCAACTTAGAACATTGTACGACCCAGATCTTGGTCTTGCACTGCCACTCATTCTCTCAACAACTTTGTTCTTCATGGCCATTGCTTTACACGATATTCTACTTCATCCTGATGTTATAGGCACTCAAAAAACATTGTGATTTTTATATTAATTCTATAATTTTTTTTAATTATATTATGTATTTTTGTTAAATTGAAACAACCGTTGTTTCAACCTAATTTTATGTATACTAATATATATATATATATATATATATATATACTTTGATTTTTTCAATCTTTTTTTTGAAAAAAATGTTTTCATTAATCATTCTTTAAACATAATGTTTGCGGTACCTCTTTCTCGTGCCATTCGCGAACTCTACTTTGATGACTTTCGGCCACTTGATGGCCCAAAGTTTCGTCCGGACCTTATTGACAATTCCCAAACACCCACCTATCTGAACATTCACCATATTAATTGGTCCAAGGATCTTTATGGTCACAAATTTATAAGCTTTTACCTAAATATTGATCCTGAAGAGTATCCGCTAATTATCCAAAATCTAGCAATGATCTGCAGCATTCCTTATATTTGTTACTTTTGGTTTTGGTCAATAAATTTTTATATTAATGATTATAGACCAGGAAGTTCAATTGTATCGTTTCACACAAATCTCTTCACAATGCAAATTATTCCAACAGTTTTTGCTCTTTTTTTAGCCGGTGCTACGCTTGTATTTTACCGCATCGATAGAAATATGGCCTATGTGTTTTTCAAGGATCCGGAAAACCGCAAGGCTGTTGAGATTTGGCGCGATTACAAAACATCTCATGGTATCATCACCTGTACCATTATCCCAGAATTTTTTTACAAAAGAACTGGTTACATTTCCGTTTTCATAGACAAAGTTGTTCCAAAGAAATGGCTGGTACAATCAAATATAATCACTGTTCTTACTACTGCTTCAGTAGCACCTTCTATTAATGATGGTCCTAATTTGATTGACAATGGTAAAATAAGTGCTTACGCTTCTTCTATTACCTGCAAACACACAACTCAAAGCGTTACAGAAAGTAATCACGAGAAGTACCTTAGAACAGGCTATATGAACGCTTATCCAAAATCTGTTGCTAGCTCATCACAACTTCCTGGATCTGTGGCTTCCTCGTCAATAAACTATAATAACCAAAGCACTTCAAGTTCTAATAAGTCATTTGATGTTTCTAGTGAAAAGTCAAGCAGATCTAGTGTTTCAAAAACTTCTGAATTCTCCAAATCATCAGCGTTGTCGCAGTATGCTGAATCTACAGCATCATCATCTGCCCCGGCTTCTAAAGGCTTTGGGTTTATGCCATCTTTTTTTAATAGTTCAGTGCCTTCGACATCTGAAACAAAATCAACTCGTTCCGAAATTTCTTCAAAATACCCAGAATCTGCATATTCCTCATCTTCTTCTCGACATTTGCTTTCATCTTTAAATATTTTCGGTAAATATGCTGAGTCAAGCTATTCTGCTGCTTCCGAAAGCTCATCCAAGTATTCAAAGTCCACACGTTCTTCTGCTTCTTCAAAGTATCCGGATTCGGTAAGCTCTTCAACATCTTCAAAGTACTCCAAATCCTCTTACTCTTCGTCATCTTCAAAGTCCCAGGAATCCATCCATTCTTCTTCTTCCTCAAAGTATCCAAAATCTTCTCGCTCTTCACTATCATATTTTCAAAATTCATTGGTTTCATCTAAGTCCTCACCCCAATATCCTGATTCTGCTCGTACAAGTGTTTCTGAAAGCCCATCCAAGTACGAAAAATCAAAAGATTCTTCTTCTTCAAAAAAGCCATCAGACCTCTCTCAATCATCAGTAAAATCTTTTCAAAACTCAAAAACCCCGTCAACTTATTCTTCGGCTTCAGGATCTTCTCATTCAACAATTTCATCACCTTCCTCAAGATACCCTGCTCCTGCTCCTGCTCCTGCTCCTGCTCTTGCACCATCAACCTCATCTCACCAGTTTTATGCTACAAGCACAACCTCATCTTCGCGCTACCCAGGTTCATTAAACTCGTCCACCTCTTCATTCCGGTCTTCTGGGTCATCAAACCATTTGAGATACATGAGTTCAGATTCTTTTTCAATGCGCTCATCAGAGTCTCAATCAAGCGAGTACAGTACCAGAAGCAATTCCAGCACTACAAGTACAATTACACCAAACAATCACTCATTATCATCAAACTTTGATTCTCAATCAATAACGTCGTCTGCTACCAGTGACTCAACAGCTTCTTCTTTGCATGCTCAATTTCTAGGGTCAAGTGTTATTCCCGGTTATAAAGACGCCAAGGATAAAAAAGGTAAAAATCGATGTAAAGACCAAAGAAAGTAGATAAACAAATTAAAAATATAGTTTCCTAATTAGATAATAAATATCAGCTAAAAAACATTTTGAAATTGAAACAAATGTGCGTAAATGTGTATATTTTGTGATGTGTGTAGGCTGCAACTCAAGAAATATGCGGTAAACACCGTAGTGTTTATTTTTTGATACAAAGACCAGGGTTTGATATGTTAAAATTCTCATCAAAAAATGACTTATTTTTTTTTAACAAGAATATAAAAAGCTCTTTTGGTTCAATTTTTTTTTTCTTTCTTCATCTTATTTCCCATCCATAACATCAATCGTTTTATAATTTTTTTTTTTTTCCAATCATGAGTGTAAGAGAAACTTTGAAAATCCGCAGAGTCGAATCGTTGGCCACCTCCAACATCTTACTCATTCTAGTAAGATTCTCTCAAATATTTTTTGCTGGTGTTATTCTTGGGATAATGGCAAGTTATATTAAAACCCAACGGAAGGCCCATGAAACAGTTTACCGTTCCTACGTCTTTGCACTTTGTGTTCCTGTTTTCTCTCTTACTACACAAATTATCTACTGTTTAGAGTATGAGAGAATCCTTTACTTTTTATGGGATTTTGCAATTGGTTTAGGCTATCTTGTATCCATGTTTTGGCTTTACGATAAAGTTGAAGATTATCTTATTTGCCGTTGGGGTTCATTTAACCCTTTTGGATCTGACTGGTGTCCACAAACCCGTTCTGTCATTGTGGCCCAGATAATTCAAGCAAGTCTTTGGGCTGCCACTGCTGCCTATGGATTTTATGGTGTTTACAAGACTAAAAAAGATATTCTAAAGGTCTTGTAAAATGATGGTGTTGTACTGCTTGTTTCATTGTGTTGTTGTTTACCACATGGTGCCATGTATGCTTTTATTGTTTGATAATTAATTTTAATCGTTATTTAATAGATGTAATATTTAGTTATAATGTCCTTGAAAAAAAATAATAAAAAATAAAATAAATTATGGGAAATTTTTTTTTTTAAAACTGAATAGTTGGTTCCATTGTTGGCAGTAGTTGATGGTGGGGGTTTTATCTCATCCAAACAACTATTGCCGGAGATTTTTATTTTAGAATCACTCATCCAAACAACTATTACCGGAGATTTTTATTTTAAACCATCCACAAAAACAGTTCAAGTTTCATGAAGCCAAAATCATATAAAAGGAAAATTATATCTTTAAAATAATTTAAAATAATTTTTTTTCTTTCTTTTCATACTTTTTTTTTTCATCCTTTGAAAGTTAAAATAAAATATGCCCGTTGTTGCTGCAAAAAGTAGGATTTTCACCTTTCTTCCAATCCGTTTATTGGGACCTCGCTACATTATAGAATATTTCATTTTTATCAACGCTTTCTGTTTTTTATTTGCAATGCTTCACGAGATTGTATTCAAACAACGAATGACATCACCTTATTTATACCATGCGTTAATTTACTACATCGTGTTCAAATGGAGCAACTATGTGTCTCTTTCATTAATTGATGGCAACCTACAAGATTATTAAAGACCCAACAGGGTATTTTTGTTTTTTTTTTTAAAGAAAGAAAATAAATAAACAACTTTTGGAGAAAAAAATATGGATGAAAAACACCTCAGCATTAAGTAAAACTCATGAGTTTAGTCTCCGCGGTAACTTTCGGGTATATACTTTTTATATAAAAAGTATATTGAAGTAAATTGTGAAAAATTTCCCTTGAAGGTAAAACGTTTAAAAACGTTTAATATCTGATTTGGAGTACATAGTTATGTACCCAAAAACAGTTACAAGATATATTTTGGTACGTCGTATATAGTTTACTTTTTATTTTTTTTTTTAATTTTTCAGAATTGACTTTTTTTGTTTTTACGGATGGTCTTTACAAGTGAAATTTCAATATTCCGAAATCATAATAAATATATTATTAATAGTGTAAAATTTTGAAAAAAAAATAAAAAGAAATTTATTTTTGAAAAATTTTAAGGGTTTGCATCTATTTCATATTATGGAAAAGAAGAAGGAAAAAAAAAAAAATTATGATACCTTGAAAGCAACAGCCACAAAGTTTCTATGAAAAAAAAAAAAAAAAAGACAGTGCCGTGGGGTCATTCACCAGTTAATTCTATTTCCATCCATCCATATGTTACTTACCTGTTCTGGGTTTCTAACGTATAATCGTAGTTATCCCGTCTTTAACCGTTTATTCATACTTAAAATTTATATTTGTCTTTTTTTTCTCCACATTGACAATAAAAGAAAAAAAAAAAACACAAAAATGAATATTAGAAAATATTTCAATTATATTCAAAAAAAAAAAAAGATTAAAGAAAAAAAAAAGCCACATCTTTGAAAGAAACAATGAAAGCCTCTTTTTTTTTTCTTTTTTTTTCTTTTATTTTTTTTTTTACATTTTGTAGTTTCCTGCTTTTTAATGTTCTTTCAGGTATCTGTAAAAGGCCGAGTATGAATATACTTGAGCAACTGTTGTTTAAGAAAAATAGGAATCTGAAGTAATTATTTTTTTTTTTTCAAAAATTGTAATCGAGTTATTATTATCGGGGTCATCTCTTTTTTTTTTTTTTTTTTTTTTTTTCCATAATGGACTTATTCAAAAATATTTCAAATTCTACAGAAATGATAAACCGGGTACTTTAATATCGATATCAGATATCAGGTTATCACTTCAAAATCATATGTATGCCAATTTTTGAAATCACTTTAAAGAGCATGCACAAAAAAATGTTGTAACAATATCATCAATTTATTAATAGTAAATAGTAAAAAAAATAAAAATAAAAATTTTTTTAGTACTAATGAGAAAAGAAGGAATATAGATGGAGTTTTTTTCAACTTTCTTTATTTGGTGAGTGCCATGATTATTATAATCATAATCATCATCATTTTTATGATATTTCTGAAGAGGGATAGCTCATCGTTCGGCGAAATTAGATGCTTTCACGTGATATATATGCGGCTGATTTCTAATTTTTTTTTTTTTTTTTGGACTAAAAGCTTATTTTTTTTTTTTTTTTTTTTGCTCCCAAGGTTTACATAAAAAAACCGTTTTTTTTTATTATTTTTTATTATTTTTTTTATTGTCAATGTCCATGCAACCACATTAAAACCCCACCATCATTTCAAACCACCAAAATGTCTATTTCCCATCCCTTTTTTTTTTTTATGTTTCTCTCACCTTCTTCTAAAAGATTTAGAAACCAAGAAGTCAAGATTGTGGCTTACAGAAACCATGCCATAAATTTATTTATTTTTATTTTTTTTGAACTCAGAATCTCATGGCACGCGGCCTCTGATATTACCACGTTAAACTTATTGATTAAAAAAAAAAAAAAAATTCTGTATGCATGGATGACATTGAAAAAAAAAAAAAATTTATTAGTTAAGCAGGGTATCAAGTAACGTTAAGCCATCGCAAAACATCGGACGTATATGGACCTGGATTTGTTTTTTTTTGTTTGAAAAAAAAAAAAACATAAATACGCCCATGTTTCTTTCTCATATTTTTTTTTCCCCTTCTTCCTTCTTTCTCTTTTCTTTTCTTTTCTTTTCCTGATTTCTTTCTTTATTGTTTTCCATCACTGAAAACTCACTTTTCAATAATTAAAAAAAAAATTTTTTTCCTAAACGTTACAGATTACAATGGGATTTCCAGAGTTTTTAAAACATAAAAAATCAGAAGAAGTCACCACGACTGATGTCGAATCTGCTTCTATTGCTAGTAAAGGTCATGAAATTGGTATCTTTTCTGCAATCTTCCTCATCTTCAACCGTATGGTTGGTACTGGTATCTTTGCCACTCCATCTACAATTTACTCTCTATCAGGATCTGTTGGTGGAGCACTCATGATGTGGTTTGCTGGCTCAATCATTGCCGCTTCAGGCATGTTGGTTTATCTCGAATGGGGTACTGCTATTCCTAGAAATGGTGGTGAAAAAAATTATCTTGATTACTTTTACAGAAAGCCTCGCATGCTTGCTCTTTCCATGTTTGGTTTCTATGCCCTTTTGCTAGGTTGGGCCGCATCGAACTCTGTTGTGTTTGGCGAGTATATCTTGACTGCTGCTGGTCAGGAAGTTACTCGTTGGAACCAGCGTGGTATTGGTCTTGCCTGCATTTCATTCTGCCTTATTGTTCATTCGCTCAATGTTCGTCTTGGTCTTTGGATTCAAAACTCTCTGGGTATCTTTAAGCTGGCTGTGGTTATTGTCATTATGATTTCTGGATGGGTGGGTCTTGCAGGTAAGCTCAAGTCTCCCAAAACTGACAACTTTGACAATGCATTCTCAGGTCACACTCCTACCGGCTATGGTGTCGTCATGGCCCTTTATAATGTTATTTGGTCATATATTGGTTACTCTAATGCCAATTATGCTTTGGGTGAAGCCAAGAACCCTGTCAGAACTTTGAAAATTGCAGCTCCACTTGCTCTTATTGGTGTTTCTATCTTGTACATGTTTATCAACATTGCTTACTTTGCTATTGTCCCCAAGGAAGAGATTCTTACCAGTGGCAGAATTCTTGCTGCCAATTACTTTCGCTTGGCCTTTGGTGAGAAGGCCCAAAAGGCGCTTTCTGTGTTTGTGGCATTATCTGCTTTAGGTAACGTCATGTCAGTCATTTTCTCTCAAGGTCGTATTGTTCAAGAACTCGGTAAAGAAGGCGTTCTTCCATTTTCGCGCTTTTTTGGCAGCAGTAAACCATTTGGTACACCCATGGCTGGTTTGTTTACACACTGGGTAGTCTCCATTATCATCATGCTTGCACCTCCCCCAGGCGATGCTTATAACTTCATTTTGAATTTGATTTCATACCCACTTTCAGTTATTAACTCGTTTGTTGCTCTGGGCCTCATCATCTTGACAATTCGCAGAGAACACTATGGCTGGTATCCCCCCTTCCGTGCCACACTTCCTGTTTCTATCTTTTTCTTTTTGTCTTCTTTATACCTGGTTGCTGCACCTTATATCCCTCCCAGTGCTGGTCAAAGTGTTTATAATAGTCTGCCATACTGGCTTCACTGTGTGGTTGGCACTTGTTTCTTTGTGGCTGGTGCCATTTACTGGGTTATTAGATTCCGCATTCTCCCCAAATATTGGCCCGAGAGATTCTCTCAGGTGCCTGATAATTACAATGGTTATGACACCGATGTTTCTCAACTCACACCTGCCACATTATCTAGCAGTGCTGAAGAATCTAAAGGTCCTGTTGGGGAAGTTGACGTTGATGTGTCAAATAGCAAAAGTTGGAAATTTTGGTGAGATCTCTTTGGGTATCTCTTTATGATAGAAATGGTTACTTGTTGATTTTATTTATTTTGTAACGACGATATGATATTTATTTAGATTAATTGACGTTTATTTTGAGTTTTTAAAAGCATTTAAATATTCCAAGTGGTTTGAAAGATTTTGAAAGATTTTTTTTTTAGAGACTACATGCTAATTATAGGTGCATTTCGGGATTTTCAGAGTCATTTCAAAAAATAACCCAAACCCTGTTATGCAGCTTTTTTTGTTATTTTTTTTTTTTTTTTTTTTTGGCATGTCCATGCCTTTATATTTTATCAATAGTTTACTTCATTTACATTTTTCTTTGAAAATCTAATCAGTAGCACCAATTTCAAAATATATATATATATTATATATTTTTTTTAATTTGATATTTACAGCTTTATAAATGGCATTTTTCAGTAGTCTTTCTAGCCATTATCGAGCTGCAATGACAAAACGGCCACTCTTGGTCAATGTTATTACTACAGGTGTAAGTTTCTAAATTTCTCGAGGCTACAATTCCAAAAAAAAAAAAAAAAAAAAAAAAAAACTCTAACATGGTTAAGATTCTTTTCGGAACGGGTGACTTAGTAGCACAGGCAATCACAAACTCTCACAAAGAACAACCACCACTAGCAGAAGAAGATGGAAGCATTATAAGTAGTGGTAAGACAGGTCTTAATATTGATTGGGTGCGGACCGCTAAGTCTGTTATTTATGGGTCCTGTATCTTTGGTCCCGTCGGAACATACTACTATCCAGCAATCGATCGCATCCCCTTTCCAAAGATTTTGCAATCGCTAGGTCTTGTATCCTCGACAAAGCCTCTAACATCTAAGGGTGCTCAATTTGCCACGCAAGTTGTTCCCAAAGTACTTTTTGACCAGCTTCTATTTTCCCCATGTGCAATTGCCGTATATTACATTGTTATGGGTGTTTTTGATGGTATGAGATCATGGACAGACATTGTGAATGAACGTCTGATACCAAACTGGGCCAATACATTTGAAACTAATCTTGTGGTATGGCCAACTGTCCAGTTTCTAAACTTTGGGTTCATTCCCACAAATTATAGGCTTGTAATGGTAAATGTTGTTAGCGTAGGATGGAATGCTTTTATTTCTTTCCGAAACAACAATTCCAAAGAACTGATGGTTCAAAAAGACTGAAAATATTGATACAAGATGTTTCTTTTTTTTTTTACGTCATAATGATTTCATGACGTAAATAACATATTTTGTATTATTATTGTTGGGGGGGGACATGTATGCTTTTTATCTCATTTTTTTTAGGCTTTATTATTTTGACTAGAAATTCTGAAGAAGCGAGCATACCATCATCGTTTATATATACAAAGTGGCAATAGTCATGAGCTCGACTGAAGACCAAAGTAGCAAACAAAATTAAACGCCACTTGTTTTGCTAAGCAATCTCACCTTCAACTTGAATTTTAACTTTCTGCTTATAGCAACTACTTTGAAAACTTTAAATCATGCTTTTTGTTTTTATTTTTTTAGGTGGGGTTAGAAGAAGAATAAACAGGCCAACAAGTCTCATCCGGCGGCGTAACTAAAAAGAAGATGAAAAAAAAAAAAAAAAAAATTATAAAAAACATTGAGCTTTGAGATGATCAAATAGATACTAAAAATTGCAATAGCCGAGTCTGGGGTAATTTATAGTATACCTTAGTAGCAATAAAAAGTGATGCCATCATGTGTGATGATTTTTAATTAATGGAAGCATTTCTATCACCAAATGTAACACAGCAATAACTTATGGAAACTCAAAATATGAGATTTAAAGTATTTCTTTATTTTATTTTCTTTTTTTTTTATATTCTCTCTCATACCTCAATAATTAGCGCAAAATATTCAAATATGCTGCTTCATGTTAATTCAATTCCCTCCGTGATCGGTTCTTAGAACAATTGGCTAATTGAATAGCATACAAACATTGAAAAGATGAAATATATATTTATATATATATATATTACTTCACCTTTCCAATAATCTCAAACACGGTTGGGTTTTATATGTATATATATATATATATATATATATATATATATTTTTCTGGGGTAAAAAGACAATCGCTCTGCGCTGGTCAGCTAGTTAAATTCACTCCTTGACACATCGGTGCTTGTCTTGTCCAATGTAAACGGGTAAACGAGACCATAAGGCGGGGTGGTCGATGCTGGAAGGATCACCTTGAAAATTATAGTCTCTGCACGTGCAAAAAAAAAATTCCAATAATCAGCTCGTCTCTCATCAGATATAACCGGGCAATACTTAGGATCAAGCAAATAATAATGAATTAACTACGCTCGCAAACACACGATTTTTTTTTTTTTATTTTATTTTTTTTTTGCCATCCGCTCCGCAAATATTGTCATTGACCTAATTGATGAATATGACGACGATGATAAATTCCTATTGCTATTATTATTTACATGTAGATTCCACCACCTTCCTCTCTCTTTGATTGCCGTCGTCGTCTAGCAATACAGCAAAAAAAAAAAAAATACAATGCTACTTAGGCCAGAGAAAGCAATGAAAAAAAAAAAATAAGAAATGGATTAGAGGCGCAACTTGTAAAAAAGTAAAAAAAAAAAATTGAAAGACGAAAGTAAACAATTATTTACGTTAAAAGTAATAACTACTAACCTCCATGTACCTATTGATCTTATTGCTAATAAACACTGATCATACCATAACTCAGTTTCAAATAGAGATAAAAAAAAAAAAAAAAAAAAAAAGGGCTTTTGGGGTCTTCTAACTAAATATAGAGAGACTTTGGCCAAACTTCTCCGCAATTGGCTCGCACAAAAAAAAAATAAAACGGGCGTTGTTGTTGTTTTTTTTTTTTTTTGTTTACCATTGTTTTAATAAGATTCATATGTTTTAAGAAGTAATAGCAACCAAAGCAAGCTATTGATATTGACAGTAACTTCATCTTGCTGTATCTCAATTGGAACCAACAAATCATTGGAGAACGAAATAATCCTAAAGGTAATTGAGTTCCAGAATGTATATGTACAGCGTGACTTTTTTTTTAGTATACACTTCCTTTCATAGATACAATATTAATAGCATACTAACACTTGCCCAATAGTCCGTCTTAATTTAACTTTTTTTCTTTTTTTTTTTTCTTTCTTTCTTTTTTGCTGTTTCTAATTCAATCATGTGTCCTTGCCAAAAGTATATAAATTAAGGCAAATCCCACCTTTCTTTTCATTCTCCTCTTTCTTCTTTCTTCTTTTCTTCTTCTTCATCATCTTCTTTCTTCTTTTTTTAATTCTTACTCTTTCTTTATAACGCTTTTCTAACTCTTTTTTTTTTCCCCCCATTACCCTTTAACTTACCAAACTCAATTGCATACCTAATAATCACAATGTCTGTTCACTACTGGCCCCCCGTTAAGCCCTCCGCCATTGCCATTGGCACTGTTTTCACACACGTCAGTTCCTTTGTTACCTCTGCACCCATCTTTGGTGCCTTTTTCGAGCGCGCTAAGAAGGCTGAAACTCCTGAAGAAGCTCTCAAGTCTCAGGAAGCTGCCTCTGCTGCTGCCATCTACGGCTCTTCCCTCTTTGGCTCTGCCCTTCAGACCTATGGTGTCAGTGCTCTTATTAACTTGACTGGCACCGTCACTTACCAGGGTGCCTCTTACCTTGGTGGCCTCTTGTTTATCATTTCCAGTGTCCCCGCCGTCATCAATGCTACTGTCATTGAGAAGAGACCTATTGAGCTTGTCCTTGCTAAGGTTATCTCTACCCTGCTGGAGACCATTGGCCTGTCTTTGACCTTGACTTGGTGGGGAACTAGAACTAACTCTTTGAGTCTTCCATAAATTATATATATGTATAATATAACATACAAATGATATTTTAATGACTATTATAAGTTCAGGTATATTTATCTTCTATGACTGCTTGGAATATTATTATTTTTTTTTTATAATTCTCTAAAATGGTAATTAAGAAAAGATTTTAAGTTTGCGAATAATGCGAATAGCAGTGACAACACCAGTTAAAGCCAAAATTCCGGTTGAGTAATAGACAATATTGTGTACAATTTTGGCTTGGAGGGTTTCACGACGTAATGCTTCTGAGTATGAGATATCGGGACGAAATGTAACCATGGTATATAAAGGCAGCCAATGATTGCCAAAAGTTTTAGAAAGAAAGTTATCAAGTTTCTTTCTCAACAAGTAAGACATGCTGATGACGCTGTGGCGCATCTCAATGTAATTTCTCATTGCAAGGTCAACAATTGCATTGAGGTCCTTATTGCGAGTGGCGCTATACTCATCAAACGCCTTTTTAAAGCTAAAGTGATGCTTGTCCAAAAGAGACATTAAAACGCGCACGTCTTCAAAGCCGCAGTTCATGCCTTGACCGTAAAATGGCACCATGGAGTGTGCTGCGTCTCCTAAAATAATGGCCTTGTCTTTGTAATTATAAGGAGAGCATCGAACACAGACCAAAGAGCCACGCGGGTTTTCATGGTATGCTTTGATGAGAGATTCCTTTGTCATGAGGCTTTTTTCAAAAATGTCGGGGAAATTGGTCCAGAAAAAATCAAACCATTTTTCTTCACTGTCTAAACTTTCAAGTAAAGACCATGGTGCAAAAAGGGTAGATGTAAATGAACCATCGGTATTGGGCAGTGCAATCAGCATATATTCATGGCGAGGCCAAATGTGTAAATGGTTTTTATCAAGTTTAAACTTTTGATCCCCGTTATAAAATGTCACAGGGTCGTCATCTTCTTTTGGTTTGTTTGGTTCAATACGAAGTTCCACATAAGCAGAATCAATGTATTCTTGGCTGAAATTAAGGCGAACATACTTCCCGAGCTGAGCACGGACCTTGGAATGAGCACCATCTGCACCAATTACCAGATCAATATCATTAAATACAGCTGTTTCCTTTGAGTCATTGGGCTTTTCAGAATCCACAGTAAAAGTAAGTTTTGTTTTGGGTTCAAAAGAAGCATGAACAAGCTTGTGGTTAAAATAAGTTTCAATGTTAGAACTATCAAGCTCATCCAATAGACTTCGGTTAAGATCAGCACGATCAATAGAGTTGATAGCTTCACCATAAAGACCATATTTTTGACTGATTTCATCTCCAGCAAGATCATGAATCATTCTTCCATGCATAGGAATTAAGTTCTGAAGAACTCTGTCGCTCATGTCTTGGTCAATGGAGTCTAAGGTAAGAATACCACGTGCAGAAACTGCCATATTGATGGAGCGATAAGAGAAAATCTCGCGTTGTTCAGGAGTTCTAGCATCAGGTCGGCCTTCAAAGACCTTGACCTTATAGCCTTTCTTTTGGAAAGCAAGTGCAGCCACACATCCAACCAACCCGGCACCAATAACAGCGATGGTTTTAATTTCGCGGGGTGGTAATTCTTTATCGGAAGAAGTGGGGCTATACAGTTTAAGAGGAGCAGGAGATGGTACAGACTGCTCATCTTTTACAATAGCTGGCTTATCATCAGAAATAACTTGCTTTTTTTGATCCTCAGAAGAAAAAGATGAAGAATGGAAAGATCCAGCAGATGGGGTTTGTGGCTCGCTTCCATTGTAGTGTATGGAGTCGACCATGACGATATCGTCACCGAAATGAGAAGAACCAGAAGCGCTCATTTTTTATTTTATTTTTTTTTTTTTTTGGGGAGGGTGGATAAGTAACTAACTTTTTAAATAAGCAATGTCTGAAATTGAAATGTAGATACTCAAGTACTAAAGAAACCTTTGATAAAGT